TCTTCGTTTGTCCAGAAGCATCTCTATATAGAATCTAACATATGCAGATGTTATGCAAATTTGCATATGGGCACATGGGGTTGCGGCTTTTTAAGTAGCTGGCAGTTCCCCTGCCCTGTTTATTTCTGTGCCCCTCAATTTTGCCTTTTAGATCACGTGCAGCAAAAGAGGAGTCAAACAGAGCATCTTTGCAATAAACATTGAGTGAACATGCCAACAGAAAAAGCCACAGCACCTGTGTACTTTATAGGAAGTGTGCAGAATCATTCTGAAATATTGGCCAGTAAGCAGAGGAAAGGCGAAAATGTGCTCTAGCAGATAATGTTGGATGTAGCTCATCTTCTTGACATGGGAGGTTAGATATTTTTGTTTACTTGGGGGCATCTTACACTGGGATTATTTTTGCTATGACACTTTTTAGAAAAGAACTCTAAACTTATTGTATTGCTTTAAATTGTTTTTAAATGATGTACCCTAAATGAAGGGGCACAATATAAATGCAACTGCAGTAAATAAGAAATAATTGCTCGTTTTCTTTCAGCAGATTATTTGTTCTATGCTTGGAATCAGAATGCTCTCTGAAACATTCTTTCCATTGTCCTTGGCTTCCTTCTTTTCAGAAATGAAAGGGAAGCGAGAGTGAGTGAGTGTGAGAGATTCAGTCCTGAGGTTTGACTGGCTTGCTCAAACTCCATCTGGCTCTTACATCTGCCTGTTAGCACATATGTCACATGGTAGATGACAAGATACAAAGAGATCTCATGAATACAAGGGTTCTACAAGCAGTGTGTGCAGCAAGTACTATTCACAAATCTTGTTATTGTCACTGGATGGCATGCGGCTCGCTAGGCATTGACTTAAAATGTAACATTTTATATAAAAAGCCTTTTGATATTTCAGTGTAAGACTTATAGGGAGATGCAGAAAACGTCCTTGATGGGATTAAACTATATTGTTTCTTTTTCCCCCACCCAACAATATAACAATCTAGATTTAGCCCTGAGTTAATTAAATGGGTGAAAGTCTGCATATTTAGTGATGGAAAGCTGATGGTTTAAATTTTATTTTAAAGAAAGTGCTTGGGTTGGGGGTGGGGGTTGGGAGCCTGCAAAGCATTAAGAATAGTTTGCCCCCTTAGCATACAAAAACTAGCAAGTTTAGGATTTCTTATTTTCCTCTCTCAAAATGAAAATGATATAAGCCTAAACCCTTTGAAGTTTTTTTCTGGGTTGAAACTGCATTAAAAACATGGCATCATATTGATTAAATCAGTGCAACAGTGTCCCCCCTCCCATAAAAATACAATGGAATTTGGTGACCTATTTTTGAATGTTACCCTTTGATTTGTTTTCAGAAGTTTGTGTATATGTATTTAGGCTGATGTTCATAAAACAAAATAAATTCTGCACACTCAGCATTGAGCAAAGTGTGTTTGTAAATGGGTTAATCTCTTTGCTAGTCAACTTTATTTTATGGGAATCTTCATCCATCACACTCCTTTCCATGTACACTGGTCCATGAAAACTGAGTGGCATATCTGAGGTCAGGCCTCAGATCAGAGGTATAAAAAATCAGAGAATCAAATCAGTTCTCTCATATCAATGCAATCTGAAGGAATCCTTGCTAATGACACAGTCAAAACTGGTGACTCTAATCATTTGTTCTATGTATTCTAGCCCTCTTAACAGGATATCAGATGTAAACAATCTACAAAGGTAAATAAGAATTGTGTTGCTTAAAGGAGGATTGTGGGCGTTTCTGTTTGTGTGATGTGATATTGTCTTTATTACAAAGAGTCATGGGTTCTCATGTAATAGTCCTTAGTGTTGGCATCTTCACTGGCAGATTGACAGAAGTGGATTTATGTGTGTGGTAGAACTGTGAACCCGTTTCAAGGACTGAAAACAAATTCCTGGTATGCGCATGAGCATCCTGTTCTTTAATCCTAAGATTACGTTGCTGCTCCCCCTACTACTCTGTGCCTGGTTAGTGGCAGTGCCAGATTACTAAATAGGCTGAGTAGACACCGGCCTATGGACTCCTTGCCTTTTAGGGGCCACGTTGAAAGAAAATTACAGTCAAGTTTTCTTAGTTCAATGTTATCCCACTAGAGTGGGGGTCCCCGATATTTTGACTGCCTAGCGCAGGGGTAGGCAACCTAAGGCCCGGGGGCCAGATCCGGCCCAATCGCCTTCTTAATCCAGCTCACTCCGGGAATCAGCGTATTTTTACATGAGTAGAATGTGTCCTTTTATTTAAAATGCATCTCTGGGTTATTTGTGGGGACTGCCTGGTGTTTTTACATGAGTAGAATGTGTGCTTTTATTTAAAATGCATCTCTGGGTTATTTGTGGGGCATAGGAATTTGTTCATTTCCCCCCCCAAAAAATATAGTCCAGCCCACCACATGGTCTGAGGGATGGTGGACCAGCCCACAACCAAAAAAGGTTGTTGACCCCTGGCCTAGGGGCCTCCACAGGGTTTCATTCAGCACTGGTTAGCAGATCTTCAGGGTTCTAGTAAAACCCAAAGTACACCACATTAACCTGTAACCTGCCCATTTCTGCTATGTGGTGGCCAGATGCAAAAGTGGACAGGGTTCCTGTATCTTTAACAGTTGTGAAGAAGAGGGATGGGAAAGTAGATGCTGAAACTACCTCTTTTACACAGCTGTTAAAGGTGCAGGAGCCCTGTCCTCTGGCCACATGACCCGGAAGCTGTACGCCGGCTCCCTCGGCCAGTAAAGCAAGATGAGCGCCGCAACCCCAGAGTCAGCCATGACTGGACCTAATGGTCAGGGGTCCCTTTACCTTTACCCTAGTACTCAAGACTGTGGAGCTATATTGGCTACTGCATTATCTGGGCATTTGCCATTGAAAGCTGCCAGCTGTAGTCACTAACTACAGTTGGATACAACCAAACAAATAAAACATTTTCCCTAACTCACACCAAGCTGAGATTGATGGTGGAGGTGGTGGGCTTATAAGAACAGTTATAGTTCTTGCTCATAAAATCATTATGCCAATTAATACTTTTAAAATCAGTTCCTGAAAGGTATAGCTCTTATGCTCCTTCCTCATTTTGGTCGGAATGGATGCCATCTTAAATGCACTTTAGTACTCTTAAAAAGGTAACATTTCTGGAGAAAGAACATCACATCTTTGCATGATAAAATTTAGAGTAAATGCAATACATCCAGGAATAAGTTTAGAAGGGAGGTATAATCCAAAGAGCTATTTTTGTGTTTATGATGCAGAACTTTATACAACCATTTGTTAGAGACAAAGCCAAGCAGACTATTTAAAAGCTGCTTTTTCTCTCTCTGGTTGGAGTGCGTTTCAAGGATCTTCAACAACAAAAGCCCAGGGTACATTTCAGGTGAAACCATGGAAACAGCAGGAACTCTTTTACATAAAATAGCTAAACTTTTAGTCATGAATGACCTTGACATTTAAGGCTGGCACAGTAGAACATTAGCATTTGTAATGTGAATTAGGGGTAAAATATTCAAAAGTGTCCTGTTGACTTAGATCTATTCGGAATAAAGCACTGTGTGGGATGCCGAAAATTTGTAAAAGCTTGACAGGGTTGTTGTTATTTTTAAATGTAATATTGTGCTTTTTCTAGAGTTTTGGTACAACAGTGTTCCAGCCCACTTCCATGGTTAATGGTGAAAATATTACTCTGTTCCCGTATTATTGTCACCTATTGTCAACATTAGCTGAACAGAAGCTAAAGGCATAAAGTGTTTGATCTATATGTCAAACGCTTACTGTTTAATATTAAAAATACATATACTTTCTACGTTCTGTTGTTCTCAGTTCTTTTCAGTGGTGGACCACAATATGTGTGAGAGTAACAGATGAAGATTAGAAAGAACACTGTGAAATCAACTCCACCAACCATCTATGGGATAAATCCACAAAGGGCAGAAACTGCCCTTTTCTTTCAGATCTATCTCGGTTGGTCAAATGATGGGCAAGTAGTGACAGCATATTACTCTTCCTCTTTCTGCACCAGCAATGGGGAACCTACAACTCTCCAGGTGTTGTTGGGCTTCAACTACCATCTGCCCCAGGCACCATGACTCATGGCCAGGGACGATAGAAACAACACATGGAGGCTCCCAACCCCCACTCTATAGCCAGCTGATGGAGTTGATCAGAAGCCACTTCTTCCCATTTGTAACAAAACTCTAGAACAGTACATAAAATAATATGAGCCTTGCTGGATCAGATGAAAGGCCCATCTAGTCCATCATCCTGTTTTCACAGTGTCCAACCATATCTGTACCACCAGAGAGCCTTGCAGAACCACCACCCCATCATTACAAGCAGCACCTTTGTCTTCTGCACCTGGTTCCTCTGGGTCCCCCTTGCTTCATGCAGGATGCTATTTTAGCAAGACATTCCTTGCACCTCAATAGGTACAGCCAGTGATGGGACAGGGATGTCTGACTGTAATCCTATGAATATACATAGAAATGTGGAGTGTCTGCAGAATTTCAACTCAGAAGAAAACAACTGATCCGCTGAGTTCTTTCTGATGCCACTACTGTCTGATTTATTTATATTTACTGGGTTATTTGAAGCACAGGGATATTAGTTTAATACAAAGAGATGGGATTTGTTTATGTTGTCCCTGATCCAGTGTGACTACAAGTGGAAGAATGTATTGTATTGGACTAGCAACATGAGAGAATTGAATTGGCACCAATCAAGCAAGACTCAAAAGCCCAGTGAATATTATTGTTGTTCTGGAAAACATCTGGAGGGCACCAGGTTGGGAAAGGCTGGTTTAATGTGCTGAAGTATTTAAAAGTGCAGCTTTCTGCTTGTCTACTCAGAAGTAAGCCCCACTGAGTTCATAAGATTGCAGCCTAAGAAACTAAATAATTGGCTTGCAATGTTTCATCATAAGCAATGAGGGAACTTTGTTTCCTGATTGGATCCTGCTTTCACCCTGCTCTGTGATGCAGTAACTGTAATTACAACAGTCCTATCTCCAGCTGATCTTAAAACAACCTAGGTCAGCTCAGACATATTCATTCAAATGGGCTGAAATACTGGAGAGCACTGTGGTTATACAGGCCTCCCTTCTAACCAGCTACTGAATTGACTGAATCAAGGTCGCAACAGGTTCTGCCCTGAGCAGGTAGGTACAAAATTTATTTTACCACTGGCAATCTTTTGTTGTGGTCAAACTAAGGGACCTGGGTTCAAAACTATAAAAGGATGGAAGACTGGCAAGGCCTCAAAATAGCGTGTGAAGCCCCTAGGCCAAGCAGGTTTATGTTTCAAGTGGGGATAAAGGAATAGGAGCTAAGATGTATTTAACAATGAGAGAAAAAGGGAAGGAGCAAAAGGAACAACTCAGACACAACTTTTATTGTAAATCAGTAAACAAAAATGGAGGAAAATGGAGTCTAATAAATCAGTTATCCACAGGTGAATGATCATACTTTCAGGCCTATCTTTTGTTACACAGTCCTAGGCTTCAATACACGTGTAGGCCTCAGTCTCACTCTCTGGTTGTGGTGCTGTGACGTTTGCTTTTCCAAACGGAAAAGTTGTTGAGTTGTTTTTAGGGGGGCGGCCAAAGTAGTTGAGCATTTTTTAAAAAAAGGGAAATTGGCATTTTGTTTGTTTTTGCAAAATCACAAATAAATTGAGCATTTTTTAAAAAAAGGAAAATTGGCAAAATCAACACTGCCAAAATCTGATGCCATACATCCAGGTTTTCCTGGTCATTTAATCAGTTTTGCACCCAGACACTGCTTTCGGATCCAGTACTCCAAATATGTCCAGGAAATTCCGGACATATGGCAACCCTATCTTAGTCTCTTTCCTCTCCAAAATCTTCAACTGAGCCACCCTCTCCAGAATCACAAGAAACTCCTTCTGAAATCTCAGAAAGAAAATGTCCAGGCCTCACCCACTCAGCCTGTGAGGGAAGTTCCTGGTTCAGAGAGTGAGCATGGAGCTTAAAAAGAGAGGAGGAAGGGCACGCTTTGCAAGAGTAGCGGTAAGACAAATTGCTACTAACCCAGCTGGCTTTCTGAGATCTTTGACAGAGAGAATACGGGTGACATAAATCAAGATAGACATGCACCCAGTAAAATCCTTGCTAGATTTTGGGCTGATATCATACCTATCCCACACTACCTGTATTTAGAGTCCATGCAAAAGAGAGCCTTCAAATGTCAGAGAAGAACCCAAAGTGATTATCAGAAGAATATTGTTACCAGGTTGGGAGAGGGATGACCCCTCTAATCCCAGGATCCATCAAGTGTTAAAATCTAATCAAGTTTTCCAATTGCAGGAAATAGCCAATTAGTAGGATGGGAGAGCTGAGAAAAATGCCAATATATTTCACTTCTAGCAACCAATGCGCCTCTTTGGTTTGAGATACTACATGGGTAGATGAGTCTAAAAAGTCTCGGACACAAATTGTCACGGCCCTCTAGCAGCTATGGTTGCCATATTTCAAAAAGTGAAAGTTGTTGCCAAAATCTACTCTACTGACATGGGTTGTTATACATCAGGATTTCCCCAGACATTTAAGCAATTTCCGCCTGGATGTTGTTACATACGGCTAAATCCTGTCTATGTCCGGCAAATTCCAGTCGTATGGCAACCCTAGGCTATGGTGGCTCATTTACCAATAGTAATAGATTTTGCATTTTGTGTATATTCAGTTCTGACCAAACTAAGCCTCCTAAAGCAAAATATACATCAGTATAACGCCCCCCCCCCCCCGAATAACAGAATTGACCAAGGGTCATCTGGTCTACCCCTGCCAATATGACTATAAAATCTGCATCCCCCTCATTCAATTTAACAGGTGATGGGGGATTAAGGGGCTCTGTGCGAGATGGCAAATTGTTGGGGGTCCCTCCCTCAACAGAAAAGGCCAGAGTTGGGAGCAGAGTGGGCAGTGATGTGACCTAGAAAGAAAGCAGCAAGCTGGAGCAACGTTTGAGAGCTACGTTTGATTTCTTCTGTTTGAATCCAGAGCTGCGGTATGGGACTTTCTGGGGTGTTAATGCTGTGAACCCCTCCACTGTAGACTTAGGTTGTAAATATATCTAAATATACCATCTATCATAATGACACCACAGTCTCTGCTGGACCTCATTCCCAAAACAAAACAGGAACTTACCGTATTTTTGCACCATAACACTCACTTTTTTCCTCCTAGAAGGTAAGGGGAAATGTCTGTGCGTGTTATGGAGGGAATGCCTACGGGTGGCATGCCTACGGATTTTCCTCCTCTAAAAACTACGTGCGTGTTATGGTCGGGTGCGTGTTATAGAGCGAAAAATACGGTACTCAAAGTGCCTGGAAGCCCCGGAATCTTACACCACTTGGGAGTGGTATGCAACAATATTTAGCTGCAGTGGAAGATTCAAAGCAGTCATGCACTGAAATTGGATTAGAAAATCAGAAATTGTTCCTGTGATAAAGGGATTAAGAAAACCTATATTTTGGACTTGTGAGGCCCTGGAACTGACTAAATGCCTGGGACAAGTGGCATTAAAAATTAAGCCAGCAGTTAATTGACAGGCAGACTTTGCATTTGTCCAGGTTGTGGACCAGAGGAAGACACCATACGAAATAAACTGAAACCATACCCCAAACCCCCATCTATATTGCCAGACTAGTGTAAATTCCACACATCAACATGTTTTTAAAAAGCCAGAATACATGATTGAAATGGAGATCCAATGATTATCACTGGCAAGCCAAATGGGGATGTGTGCATATGTGTTGATTTGACCAATTCGGGGAACTGAAGTAACACATGAAGGCTAGAGGTAACATTGCATGATTGTGGTTGGTTACTGAAAACGCTGTCACCTGCTCTACTTCTCCCAGAGGGAGGAACAAGAGCCACAATATATGGGGACAGTAAGATCCTCAGAACAGCAGGAGACAGTGCTACTGATACGAGTTGCCACACAGGACACATGTGAAAATTAACTTGGTCCTCTGGTATACAGAGTACATCAAAGAACTCACAAAAGTTTATTTATTTTTAAATTTATAATTATTTTTTTCCTAGGTAAATATAAAAAAGAGAAATTGTAATATGCCTTTTGTTAATATACGATAGAATGTGCTGTCCTCAATGTTTGCTGTCTCATTTAAGTTTGTATTATTTTGTATTTATTATACATATAGCAGTGCCCACCTGGATGTTCTGAAATGCTGTAGAAGTTGTGAGCCCAACTCTTGGTATGATATGCAATTAGAAAGCTGTTGGAGTGGAATGGGGTCAAAATCTAAACAAATACGATTTGTGGCTAAATGTGTGTAGAGGTGTGCACATGGTTCAGGTTTTTGATGGCAATTTTAGTCTGAAATTGCATGACTAATGTTGCATGGCAGGCACAAGACAATTTGTTGTCTGATGCGAAAGACAAGATTGATTTCCCTTATGCATTTCTTGTATAGAAAGAAGCTGACTGATCTGGCAGTTGAATCTTAATCCAACACTGGCAGTGAGACAGTGTACCTGAGGTGGCTGTCTCACTTTGCCTAAAATGGTAGGAATGGCCCTGCTAAAGTGACAGTCAATTCTATTTGGATTAGCATTTATAGCCTTGAGTGGAAATGGTCTGCAGGTGCACGACAAACCAACTTTACTGAAGCAACAGTCGGCATCTTTCCCATGCCAGGATGGGAAACTCTCTGAGAAACCCATGTATGCCACCTTGTGCTCCCTGAATGAAAGGCAAGCTTTAATTGTAATAAATAAAATATGCTATGGCTCAAAGGAAAGTTATGGCTTGAGAGCTTTCAGCATTTAGATAACTCATATTGATAGGTAATCTTGTCACTGATAGGTAATCTTGTCAGTTAAGATAGCTAAACAAATTAGCTCTTTTGTTGTGTCATAATCTGTTCCCTCGGGACCTTTTTTGGTTCCTCGCAGGTAAAGGGTCAGTGAAGACTTTTTTTTCATTCTCCTGGTGCTTTTAAGGGAAATCTGCTGTTGGTGCATTGTTCCCACACCCTTTAAAACGCTTTTTAAAAATATCTTTGCGGCCTTATCCTGGTGTGCTGTCTCAGGTGCGCAGGAACTGGATTTTATTATACTGTATTCGTAAATTGATTTCGCTGTCTACTTAACATATTAATTATTATTACGGCTACTCCTACTAACTGTAAAACAGAACCGCTCTACCCTTAGCGTGTTTACTTTGAAGGGACTCCCGCTCCATTCGACGGGTTTCCCCCTTAGCTTGCATATAGGACTGCATTTCTGGGATTTTTTAATTTTATTATCACTGGAACAAGCCCACTTCAACCGAAGGGCGGCGAGGGGATTTCGGCTCTGAGGAGAATGCTGGTGTGTTGTGTGTGAGCTCGCCATGGAATCTTCTATGGGGAGGGCTCTCTCTCCTTTTGCCCCTTCCGGCAGGAGTTCCTCACGGCGGCGGTTCTTCGCCAGCCCCGCGGCTCCCTCTCTTGACTCCAGGGGAAGCCAATCTGCGTCCCTCTTGGAAAGGCAGGAGCAGGTGGATCGACACAGCCGCTGGGAGACGTTTCTCCTCACAAAGGAGAGGGGAGGGGACGGAGTGCGCCTGCGCGCTCCACGCGGCCTCGCTCCTAGAGACGGCGGGGGGGGGGAGGAAACTCCGCATTGAGTGTCAGGCCGGGTGAGGAAGGGAGTTCAAGGGGAGACACTCGGGAGTCGCTACCTACAGGCGGGAGCAACCCAAGCTAGAGCCGGGGCGGCTGGCTTTCTGCCCTTCCTCCTGCCTCTCTCGCCTTTCCATCCCCCCCCCCCACCGCTTTCCCTCCCGGCTTCCCACGGATACGAGCCAGCGAGCTGTGTGAGTAATAGGCTCTTTCTTCATCTCGGAAGGGTGCTCTTGGATGGCGGGGAGGGATGCCTTGCATTATAATCCCTCCCCCCCTTGATTTCCTCTCCCTCCCCCCTTTGATTCCCCCCCTTCCCTTGTTCCTTCGCGGGTTCCCTTTAACTTCTTCCAGATCTGCCTTCCCTGTGAGCTTCCTGGAGGCTTAAAGTTTTGGGACTCGGCGCTGCACGGAGCGAGCCCCCACAGCTGGCAAGGAGACAAAAGCGGGTGGGAGAGGCTGGGGGCGGACACAGAGGCATCTTTTCCACCTGGGCACGACCACCAAGTGACCAGCTTTGTTTCCGTAGGGGAATCTGTGAAGTCGGTGCACAGGGATGGGGTAATAGTATGGGATGTAGTAGGGAGAACTTGTGGAAATAGGGAGTCATCTAAGGTGACAGTCCTATGCACGTTTAACTGCCGATGAACTCAGCGGGACTTGCTTCCGAGGGTGCGGGTTTAGAATTGGTCCGAAAGTCCTGGAGTTTCAGAGATTAAAATATGTTACAGACAGGCTGGCATGTGCGAACTGGTTTCTAGCTCTTTGGGAAGGCAGTGTGCATGCTGCGTGCATGGAACTTATTGTGCAGGCTGCTGCATGGCAGCGGCAGCTGTCTAGTTAAACGGATTCCCTGCGCCTTCCCCTGCCTTTTAATTTCGATTTTTTTTATCCCAGTATGTAGCGGTGCCTTTATATTTTAGCACAAAGCACAGGCAAACGCTAACAAAGCCAAGCACGGAGCTTTATAAATGTTCCTCTTCCAGATGGAGATGCAGATGGGCACTTTTTTCTGGCCAACCACACTGATGCATGTGGCTGTGTAGATCATTCTGTGCCCCAAGACTCCCTGTGTGAGGGTGTTTTGAGCATGAAGATATGTGCATGAAATTGCACTTGCTTGCCGTTACTGTGTACCAGTGGCATACAAATAATGCTTGTCTTGTATGTTGATATTGGGATGGCATATGTCTGTCAGATATGTATTGAGATTTTCTTTATTTCCTGTGCCTATTTTTTTCGTTGTCTTTCTGAGAGCCTCCTGTGAAACTCCAGTCCTTGTTATCAGGAGCCCAAGGAAGCAAAATGGAAGAGGTGCAGACAGTCTCTGATGCCTTGCTATTTGTAATTGAATATTTATTCCAGTATATTTATTTTTAGCCATGAAAATAAAGGAGTTAGTATGTTGACATTTGCTATTGCTTCGGGGTTAATAAAAGGGGCTATAGTGTCTGCATAAGGACACTTATATGTTATGCATGTGATTCTTTTATAAATATCTCTTTTTACAAAGGGTAGGCTGGTGAGGTGGGGAAAGAAATTGCTGAAATGAACCTGATTTTGCCTTCATATATTTTTGAGGGATAATTTTTTGTTGCGTTGATGCTGTAACTACTTCTCATTTATTAAAATGAATGTCATATCAATAGGCTGTTACTGCTTTTGATTGTAGTGGAGGGTAAGAAGATTCCAGCCATCCTGCTTTTATTGTTCAGAGGAGAGTGCCTGATAATAGAGATTGCTGTGTCCTTTTCTAGCCCCAGGGAGCAGCAGCTGGGAACTACTGCTGGGTGAAGCAGGACAAAAGCAGCATACTGACCTTCTTTACTTGATCTCTCTCTCTCTCTCTCTCTGCCTTACAGATTGGCAGATTTACCACCAGGAGTCTTTAAACTGGAGACAGAGAGAGGACATCCTTCAAATCCATATCCTGGTGGCCGATGATGCAGGCATTCAAGGACTCTTTCCCAGAGCTGCTAGGCTTCTCTAAGAGCTCTGGCACTTCTTCACTGCTAAACGTGTCCAATTAATCCACGTGGGAATGTGCTTGCAGAGGGGGAGAGGCCCAGTCCGATCCGTTTATAGCTCAGCTGCTGGCAGGGGGGAACAGGTCCTTAAGCAGTACTAAGAAGGATGGAGCCACAAAAGAATCTGCTGGGCACGTGCTCTGATGCACTGATTTGACAGTGTTGGATTGTAGACTCCCTTATTCCAGAGTGGCTGTGGCTGATGTTGAAAGCCACAGTGCATGCTTGCGTGCTCATGGGATGAAAAGACAGCATTGATTTTCAACGAGATTATGCATCTGATTGGAAAGTGGTAACTCTCAGTCCAAACTGGGCTTGTGATCAGCATGCTTTTGTCAGGGATAACAAAGCAGCAGAAGCACCAGCGCCCAAATTCTCTTGGGGGACAGCAGCCAGAAAAGGCAGATGAGAGCTTCAGGTCCAAGAGCTTGCCGGTTCTGAATGGATCTGTTCCACCGATTAACACCTCACAAAGTGCTCTCATTACAGCCAAAAGGAACTTACAGAGCTTCCAGGGGGGTTCTGATCAGAGATGTGGCCTTGACCCTGACACATTAGCACATCGCAGCAATGTTGCTGCTGCTGCTACTGCTTCTTCCAGGACTATGTTCTCTTTTACAGCTTCCAGTTTTTCAAGAATTGGGAGTTTTGCTGAAAGAACAGGCTGCAATAACTCTGCCAGCATTAGTAAAGGGGTTTCACCAGCTTCTACGCTGCTGGCAATCCCAGGTAGAAAATTTCTCAATGTAGTATTGATAGATTCTAGGTTCTTCTTGGTGTGCATGTGCTTCCTGACTTTCATCCAGTCCCTTATGGTCTCTGGCTATCTGAGCAGTGTTATCACCACCATTGAAAGGAGGTACAGTCTGAAAAGTTCTGAGTCTGGGCTGCTGGTCAGCTGTTTTGATATTGGCAGCCTGGTGGTAGTGGTTTTCATCAGTTACTTTGGGGGACGAGGACGAAGGCCTCTCTGGCTTGCTGTCGGTGGATTATTTATTGCACTTGGGGCTGCCATGTTTTCTTTACCTCATTTCATCTCTCCACCATATCAGATCCAGGAATTGAACTCTTCTGTCTCTAATGACGGCTTGTGCATGACTGGCAATAACTCCAAAGACCATGCGGAGTCGCCAGAGTGTTTCAGGGATTCAGGTGGAAAGGACCACTCACTCTATGTAGCTTTATTTATTTGTGCCCAAATTCTCATTGGCATGGGCTCCACACCCATCTACACCTTGGGACCAACCTACTTGGATGACAATGTCAAGAAAGAAAACTCATCACTCTACCTAGGTAAGATGGCTGTGTGTAAAAACAGATGTGTGTTGAAGGGGATCACCTCCCACATTAAAAAAAGCCCCAGAAGATAGTCAGCAGTGGTATTGGCTCTGCATTTAAATTCACTAGCATTTATGTAGTGTAAACGTTGCATTTAATGTTTCATAAGAACTCAGACTTTGGCAGCTGTTACCAGCTCTTCTGAGAACTTTGCTTCATTGGCTCATGGTTTGTATTTTCATCCACAATGAAGTATCTTTTCAAGTAGTGATTGGGAGAGATTTAATTAGGTACTTGATTTTTCAGTTGAAATCTGAGGTATGTGAACATGCTTCAGTTTCAGTGGGTTGGTTGGCTAGCACTTGTCTGTCTCGGAAGACAATGGAAGAGTGTGCCTTTGTGGGTGAAGCCGAACCATTGGAGAGTTAAAGCGCCTGCTGTGACTGTAGAGACCAATACATTAGAACATGCTTGGTTGCACCTGGGGCAGATGACGGTGTCCGGTTGTGCTGATGCAGATGTACCAATGGTGTTTCTTCTTTACATGTGATTTTTAAAAATATAGGTCCAGATTCAACAAACATAGCACACTAGTGGAAGCCAGTGTAAGGCCCCCGTTAGCACACCAGGGCTTTCCCTTTCTGCCTCCCCCAAAGCCATTCTGGAAGGTCAGTAGAACCCCCCAGAACAGCACGCAAGGGAAGATAGAGGGAATTGTTTCATCTGACAAGCAGAAATGTTTGCGCTGATGGATCGACTAGAAGAGAGTAACCTTGAATTCTTCCCTCAGTGACCAGGTGTTACGGTGTCTCGAGTTTTGCTTTTTATAATGCCTGATAAATAGTTCAATCCACTTAGGTTGGTGTTTTTCAACCTAAATACACCCATTATTTTCAGCCATCTTAGCGGATGGTCAGGGATGAAGGGAGTTGTAGTCCAACAATATCTAGGGACCCAACATCCACAGGAATGATGTTGGGGCCCAGGATACTAAAGATTATTGAAAGTAATGATGATGATGAAGTCCCATTATACAGTATATACCAATTTCCAGCAGAAACAAGGGTGCCTTAGTGCCATCAGCTCAGAGAGCTGAAAATGGCTGGAGGTTACAGAAAATAGTTATTCTGTGCATACATGACATTATGCTTACATACCTCAGCCAGCATTTCACTAAAAATAGACCTTTGGCTGTGTAATGATACAAATGTACTTCCTAGGGAAAGTTAATAAGATACTTAAATTTCAAAAACTACTTTTTTGACTGAAAATCAGATTGTATCAGCAACATTTGAAGGCTGACACAAGGCTGAAATTCATTCTCCAAACTGAAAACTAAATCAGAGATCAAGTGTTCAAATTTAGATTTTATGACTTGGGTTTTTTGATATCTTAATGCAGTATTTTTCTTCTTAAAATTAGGGAGTTGATTATTTCTCCTCGTAACTTGATGTACTTTGAATTCATTTAAGTATGCATGGTGGATTATATCGGTGAAATCATTTATAATTACCTGAAACTACAATTTAGTTGTCCGTTTTTAACAGTACCACTATGGTACTAATGGATGCATGGGCAATATATTTGCACGCTAAACCACTAAATTTTCTTACTCTTTGTCATACTGGGTCCTACAGACTCTACTGTGCTTGTAATAGCTCACTCTACAATTAACTGATTTTAGTACAAGTTGATGCTTCCAGGTTCTTCTGCTTAGTCTGATTAGAGTTCACTTTTCTGTAAGTTATAAAGTCAGTTCAAAAATACTGGCAGCAGTTCAGTCTTTTCCATGTTACAGCTAGGTTCCCTGATTCTTTTGCCTATTTTCAAAAAAATATCATTGGTGAAGGTGGTATGCCTTCATATTTTTTAAAAAGCTTAAGAAAGCAAATCGTTTTATGTAATTTTAAAGAGAGCAGAAATTCTTGAAGAGATTGGCAATGCATGCATATTACAATTTCTAAAAAAAATGTTTGCACCATGTCAATTGGTCATCCTGGCTGGGGCTGATGTGCTGGAATCCAACAACATTTGAAGTGCCACCGGTACACCATTCCTGGTCTAGTAGAACTAGTGGCCTTTTTCCTAGAATGTATTGGTTAAATATTATAACATTGTACTCTTGGGAGCTTCACAGATATGCTTCCCATGAGAAGGAAATTGAATTTTGAAATATGAAAAGCTTATGGTTAACATCACTTCACTATTTTCAGAGAAAATTACACAAACTCAATACTGTCCTGCAGTATGTAACTCCCATTGATTCTTACTAGATGTGCATGGGGTGCACAAGATTGCAGCCATAGAGAAAATTACCGGTACTAAATTACAATGCAAAATCAGTGTTTTAATGTGGAAATAATATACAGTGGTACCTCGGGTTACATATGTTTCAGGTTACATACGCTTCAGGTTACAGTCTCCACTAACCCAGAAATAGTACCTCAGGTTAAGAACTTTGCTTCAGGATGAGAACAGAAATCGTGCTCTGGCGGCACGGCAGCAGCAGGAGGCCCCATTAGCTAAAGTGGTGCTTCAGGTTAAGAACAGTTTCAGGTTAAGAATGGACCTCCGGAACGAATTAAGTACTTAACCCGCTGTACCACTGTATAAATGTTATTGCCTCCCAACCACTGTTTAGTCATTTTTGCTTTCCAGCAGTTGTTCCACAGGAGAATAAAATAATAATTGATTTTAAGAGTGTTTACTGTTTTGGGAGATGTTATTATTGAGCATTTAATAGTGCAGTCCGTGACATATCTACTTGGAAGTAGTGTGACTTATTAGCTGGTAAGTGAGGCTAGGATTGCAGCCTTAGGCAATGAAACTACTTATCTATAAAGGGAAGTGTCACAGATTTGTTGATTATGCTTGTTCTTCTTTAAGAATGTTAACTGAAAGAGAATCAGTAGACTGAAGCAAAATCCTGATAAGATACAAGTGATTTTGATAGGAAATACAGGCATTTCCAGTTTTGCTATTCTAGATGGGTTCTTATTTGCTGTATTGGTGAAACCTTGTTGTCTTAGGTTGGTTCTAGACCCAGATTACTACTAAAGAAACTCAGTTGTCGTGGGAAGAATTTATTTTGTCAGCTCTGCCCAAAGCACCATATGGTTTCCTTGAAAACAAGAATTTTGTCACTGTAATCCAGGGTGTCCAGATGCAACAGAAGAAAGGGGTCTGCACTTTCAATAAATTCACAGAAGAGAAAAATTCAGCAGGTGTAGCTGGACATGCAAGCTGCACCTACTGAAATCCCCTCTGCTGCATAGCAAAGATGGAGAAGCCCTGTTCTCTTTTGCGTCAGGACACCCTACTGTGAGCTGTGCTCATAAAACACTCAGAATTGAGTGCTCTACCAGGGACAGCCATTTGAAGATGCAGCTGGTGCAGATTGCTGCAACCTGTCTTCTTCCAGATGGCACTAATAGCACATAAAACCAGTACTGCAGCAATAGCACTAATGTTCAAGCCCAGATCAAATATATTGTTTGTAATTGATTATTTTTATGGAAAGGAAGGGTAGAAAAATAAATAAACCGGTCCTAACCTTCCACAGACTTGAGAACTGCAACTGTATCAGCAAGTTCTCTTCCCCCACCCCAATGAATCTACTTCCTTGCTCGTTTGGAAGAAGCATTGCTCAAAGCTCTGTGGGTTTTTTCACCACTAGGCAGTTGATTCAGCATGGTAGAATGTGGCCCGTGCCAAAGTGTGTGTCCTAAGTACACTTTCCCAATGGATTTTCAAAACAAATAGGTGGTTTGTTTATTGCATCCAGTTTCTTAGAGGTTTTCAGCATATTTGTTTCCTTTTAGGAATTGCAATGCTGCTCATCAGTAAAAGCATTTTAGAATAGCAATATAAAAACGTTATAAACATTTAATAGAAATAATCAAGACAATAACAGATCAAAAAGCAGCATTAAAACGTTTCCATCAAGTTTAGAAATCCATCCAATTTGAACAGCTTGGGGAAATAAAAAATAATTTACATTAGTGTGAATGCCAGGCAAGCCTGTGTATGTGTGTGTGTGTGTGTGTGTGTGTGTGAGAGAGAGAGAGAGAGAGAGAGAGAATTTCCTAAGCAGAATACAGTACCACAACAGAGAAGCCCTTCTCTAGTTATCTCCTGCCTCATTACCTCGAAGAGGGCTTTGAAAGATCTCTGTGCATGGGCAGGTTGGTGTGGGAGAAGATAACCATTCACGTCCTAAGTTGGGTAGGACTTTATGTACCAGCAGTCTGAATTATGCTTAGAAATTGATTTGGTAAGCACTTGTGAGATGTATTTCTAATGACCAGTCCTTGTTTGTGGCTGCATTTTGAGCTACCTGAAATTTGTGACCAGTTTTTAAAGGCAGCCTGCATTGAAGTAGCCTAGGCCAAAATTTACCAGAGCATGGACAGCCATGATCAAATTACCTCTAAGAGGGCTGATGTATCTGCCTCAGCTAGTGAAAGGGTGTTCTGTGTGCCACTGAAACTATGTGGGCTTCCAGCAACCAGGCTGGATCAATGAGAATCCCCAGACTGTGAGCCTCATTCTTCAGCAGAAATGCAGTGCCCTTCAGAACAGGTTGAATATCACTTCCCTGGACAGAGAAATCACCTATTATAAAGTACCTCCATTTTGTCAGTACTGATCTTTGTTCGCTTGGCCTATATCCAGTCCATTACTGATTCCAAGCATTGATTCAGCACTTTAATTGCCTCACCTGAATCAGATGTAACAGAATGGTAGAAAGGAATGGTAGAACTGAATTTAATATGTGTATTGATGATACAAAACTGGAAAACAGTGGGTGTTCTCATTCAGTGGTTTCATGTAGCTATTAAATATCCTAAGAGACAAGATGGAATCCTATTGGAGTCTCACAGTACCACCTTCTGGAATTGGCTTTTTGGATATGAGTGGGATCGCCATGCTTCTAGCTCCAAGTCCGGAGAGCCTGGCAAAAAACACACAAAAAAAACTCCAAACCACCCACCTGGATGATCAATGCAGTTTCTGTGCAGAAACTGAGCCTAAAACCAGATTGAAACGCATCCTCTGGTTCACATATTAAGTCAACATTTGGCTTAGCGTGAACAAGGAAGCCCATCTGGAAAATCATGACTGCTTTGCTCTCATGCCCTTGCTGCTGCTGTTCTACTGAGAACTAGGCCATAGTTTGGTTTAGCGTTACATACTAATCCAGGTTTGTGGTTTCTCTTGCTCCAAACAATGACCTATAACCTAGGTTTGATCTTGGCTGGCCACTCATGGTTTGTTTGAAATTACTTGTTAAATGAGATTTTGTGTGGCAATGTAAAGAAGGGAGCAGGGGGGGTTTACTGACATTAAGTAGACGGGAGCAGAGCAGCTATAGAAAATGTACAAAGAAGAAGGAAGGTGACTTGGCTGCTAGAAATATAGACAGACTTGAAAGGAAACCCACTGAGGCCATCAGTGCAACCCTAACCATATCCAGGGCTGAAACTAGGCTCTCTGTCACCCGGGTCAAAGACCCAATTTGGCAGCCCACCCCACCGGATGTGTGTTTGCATACACACACACACCCTGAACACATTTATTCCTAAAGGACAAAAAATAGGCAATTTCATTCATTTTTTCATCTTTCTGTCCGGCTGAAGCCCAGGCATGCTGGGAGGCTGGGAGCCTAATGGTGCCCCTCTGGAGGCTTCACCCAGGGCAGAAACCTTGGCAGATCCCTCCTAGATACAGCTCTGCCGTATCTACTCAAAAGGAAGTCATTTTGAATTCAGTGGGTCTTATTGCCAAATAAGTGCAGTTATGATTGCAGCCTAAGCCAACTTCTGGTCCAGTGGTTTGGTGGCCACAGAATCATTATATGTGATTGAGGCTGCATGTGATTGCAGTGCTTTTTGGAGCCAGAGGATCTGGTGCTGGTATTTCATCATGTGATCTGAAAAACACATTTGAGAAGCAGATTAGCACCTTCCTATAGCTATCAATCAAGCAGAAATGTATTTTTGAAATTGAATTGGCTTGAGTTCACCAAGTTGAGAAAGCATAGTGTAAAACTGTTCACAAGAGATGCTACACCTAGAGAACCAAGCCCAGCCCTTTTTTCCTCCTCTGGAGGAGCATGCAAGGAAATGTGATCATCCAGTCAGCCTCATGGGCATTTCCCTAGTATCCAGTAAAGATCAGATTAAAATAAAATAATGCACAACAACTTCTGAAACGTTGCTACTTCTCAGGCACTGAAATCCAGCTTAATAAAAAAAGAAAAAAGTATTTCCGTATTTCTCAGAGGTATTGAGTTTGGTAACTCTCCAGAGAAAAGGAATTCCACCTCTTTGTGGCAGTGTAAGATCTAGAAACTTCACTATTTGGAGAGTGTAAGGTCTGAAATCCTGTAAAATTCAGTGCTTGGAATATGTATATGATTAATCTTTAGGGCCTTGAAATTTCATAATTAAGGACTAGGATTTGTTATCCCTTCTCTTCCCTCCAACCTTCCTCATACTTGAAAAACACCTCTATCTGGCAGATTGATTTCAACAGGCCTCAAAGTTGAAAGCTGCTCAGGCAGTTGGAACGTGAGAATAATCTCTGCTCTAAATGGATTAGTCAAATGAGCAGAGGGCAGGTAAGGCAGCCAAGGGCACATGATAAATGGCATTCATCACATGGCTGTGCTGTTCAGTCACATAGATGTTCCCTTATCTTATATGCCATGCTGCCTTATTTTTCAAATTGCTAAGAGGTTGGTGGTATCGGTACGGGTCCCATCCTCTAACATACATGTGTGAGGGCAAAGCTGTAGGACTTGCATGACCAAAATTTAAGCTGCAAGTCAGAAATACCCTCAAAAGTTACATGGATTATGTGTCTGACTTTGTGGTCCTGTACCTGTAGGCAGAAAGAAATAGACTTCCTGGCTGATTCAAAAATAAAAATATAACTCAGTTTTTTAATGGGTTAGCACAGAGTTTTTGCAATGTATTTCTAGTGAAGACTTTTGCATTTTGTACTTAAATTGCAGAATATAAACTTACTTCTCTAGACCATTTCCCCTGAACTTCCCAACTCCTTTTCTTTGAAAAAACATGCTTTGATACATACAGTAGTCACTTGAAAGTTTTGCATCACTGTAGACTTTGGTCCCCCAGAATGCTTTAAGAGCTGCCTGTTACTACACAGTAGTAATCCTGATTTTACAAAACTCACCTTATATAGATGTGGGAGCTATTTTATTTATTTTCCATGTTAATCCAGCTCAGTGGGTTGAGTGGCAACGTCATATCCTCTTAAGTGCAGGCATGCAAGCTCAAGCGGGACAGCTGTTTTGACATTCCTGACTGGGTGTCTTGCTCTTAGAAAGTGCATTTGATGCTTATACATAATCTCTTGGCTGTCTGCATCCCAGTCCATCTGTCAGGATGGCGCTGTGCCAATTTACAAGGTAAAGTGTCTTTTTTAGTCAGGGTAAGGTGCCAAGCAATTATACGTTTAGCAAGATAAGCCTGCAAAGTCCTGTGGTTTTTGCAGTGGGCTTCCTTGTGGATTGTAAAGACCGTGAATGAGTCAATCCCCTTATTGCTTGACACAGTAGCAATTTTAAAAATGCCCCGATATAAGTAGCATTAGTGAGAGAAGGAATGCTTTGGACTTTATTTACAGAAAAGAATGGCACAATTTAAAATCTCAGAACTTCAATTCCTGATAAATAATGTAATGTCTGATGCATGGAACTTGTTCACAGTCAGTTCTGACTACTTCAGTGAACTCTGATCACAGAGATAAGATCTGTATCTTCAATATGGATATTGTTCCATTAGTGGAGATTCAGAGAATTGTTTAAAATCACATGGTACAGTTGTTGTGCTGCTGCTGATAAGCAAGTCTAGCCCTGTTAAATTGCCTGGATGAGAGGCTGCCTGAGGACCGTATATGAGCCACAGTAACAGAGTATACATGTAATAAATAAGAAAGATGTACCAATATATCTCATTCTGATTGTAAGCCTTGTAGTGTCAAATGTGCACTTGGTGCAGTGTGTCTGTTCTGCAGTTTAGAAGGAGATACCAAATCCTATCATAAATGTGATGAGCATTAGGTAGTTGGATCTGCAAGGCCACAATTAAGCTGCAGAAATAGCCCACAACCCTTTTCCTTTCCCCTTTCTCCTCTCCACTATTCTTCTGGCTCCTCTTTTACACCCCCTGCAGAATTTTATTTTCCCCAGTAGGAATTGATGCTGTTGACTTACATAAGAGAAAGTAAATGATCCACTTGGACTATTATTTGGGCTGGAAGTAAATTTACATCCTCTCTCCAATGACCACAGGCATGGATAATCAAGCCAACCTCTCTCTACCCAGCCTCTTGTTTGGTTCTGTTTTTTGATTATGCAAAGGTGTGGCAGAACGTTGGAAACTAACTAGCTCACTTTTATTCTTTTGAGTTGCTTTTTAGGCCCATTAAGTAGAAATGTGGATAAAGGTATATAAACACATAAATAAAATTACTCCCACTTTTTTGATGGGACTGAGGAGGAGTTAGGAACTTACTCAAGCCATTAATTGCTGAAGTTGGCACTGAATTCAGGTTTCTCAGGTTAAGGAGACCCAAGTGCTCCAGTATTCCATGAATGACGCCTATGGGTTTTGTGTGTGCTTCTGAGTGAAGATAGATGTAGGCCAGAACTTTTAAATGGGTGTGGAGGACCAGATGGCTCCCTGCATTGTGTAACTGGAGAGCTACTCTGGGCTGTGCAGTGGGGCAATTGCACATGCACACACACTGCTTTCGTGTAGCCCATTTTGGGAGGTATTTGAATAATACTGCACTGAGGGACCTGAGGAAGCTTTAAAATGTTGGCAGTAGTACAGCCAAGGACTGGCTAGCATTTAATGGATGTGTGCCCAGTACATAGCAGTTCAAGGCCATCAACAATGTCATCTGGCCCTGTTGGCTCCCTTATGAAAACAGTAATTTTAGGGTTTGACAGTGATGAAAAGGCAAGCAGGACATCTGTGAGGAAATGAGTATATTGGGAGCTTTTGGCCTCCAGTTCCAGCCTGACTGGAATAAACAGCAAGGTGGGAATGCATAGAATAAGATGATGAATCTTATTCCAAAAATGGAAACATTTTCATGTTGTATTTTTGCCTGCAAATAAAATATGCTAGCTTGGGGAAGGGCTGGAACTCACTGGCAGAGCACAGACTTTGTGAGCAAATGGCCACAGGTTAAATCCTTGGTGTTTCCAAGTAGGGTTTAGAGAGACTCCTATCTGAAACCCTGGAGAGCCATTGCCAGTTTGTGTTGACAAAATAGTCTGTCTTGGTATAATACAGCTTAGTATGTTTTTATAATGGTGGAAGTACTCAGACATGTGGTTCCCTACTGGCAGTCCGAAGTGATACAGATTGAGAAGGGCTGTGCCACGCATTGCTTCTGCCTGGTTGAGATGGATTGTCCAACGGGCTTAGCAAGAAGGGTGGTTATTTTAAGAAACTGATACTTGGTAACTGAGCTATGGGATATTACCACCCTTTAAAAACTGAAACGACATATTCATTTGCCTGCTAATCAAGTAAAGTATTTATATATTCCTTGGTTTGATACAGGATGGTTCAGTTGATTAGCCATTTGACGATCTCTTTTTGGCCAGCCAAATACTGGTTAAATATTTTCAAAGCATCAGCTTTATTCAAGTAACATTTTTCTGTCAACATTTTTGTTGTTGGAACAAATATACCTTAATCATCAACAGCTCTCATATGTGACTTACAGAAACAAGTCAGTTAACTGTTATGAAAAGATAAAATTCATTTTTAAATTGTAATGAATCATAACTTTTTACAATGTTATGTAAGTAAATGTGAATGATTCACAGAAGAGTTCTTATTTTTGACTTTATCCTGGAATACTAAGGTAATTTTGTATAGAAAGAGATGCATACAGAAATTTTAAAAACAAGTCAGAACTGGAAGTTTCCATAAATTTTAGGATGCGTTATGTATCATGGTGGTGATAGTAAAAAATAGTAGAATAGATTCCAAGTACAATGTACAACTTGATGTTTTAGCATCACTGATATGAAAATTATTATTATTTATTAAATTTGTATACTGCCCTTCATCCAAAGATCACAGGGCAGTTCACAACATAAAAATACAAAATGTGAGCACAGCATACATAATGTGACTGAAGGAACAGATGGTGGCTATGGTGTCACAGTCTGGTGTTCTATGTCAGCTGTCATCTATTGCATGGTTTGCACTGATTTGTCTTATGCATGCTGCCAAGCTAATCCTCTCTGTGAGGCAAGCAGCAACAGAGCACAAATAAGTGCTAAGAGTTCAGAGTTCTTTTTTTAAAAGAGAATGGAAATGTTACATATTTATTTTAAAGTATTTCTGCTGCTTCAAAATTTGCTTCAAAATTGATTGCAAGGTTGCAAAAATTAGAACAAAAGATAAAATATGAAGTGCAACATACTAATATAGACCATAAATAAAAATACATATTAGAATACTTCATATTTTATACATCATCTGTGGCATTTTCTCTCACAGATTATCACTTCTTAAACTTAATAACTTATTTCTCTCTTTAATTGGAGCTCTTCAAGTATCACTGCATTTTTTGTATCCCTAATGGCTCATAATGATTGTGAACTGGAGGCAATAGCTTTTGCAAAGCACCCTTAGAATTTCAGTTCCAATGGTCTTGTAGAAAACCAACACAGAGTCTTGTAGCACTTTACACTTTAAAGACTTACATTTGGAAGGCTGTTTTGAAATGTGGGATAAAAATAATTTAAATAAGGATGTTTCCAGAAAATAATAATAATTGTTGTGGTTGATGTTAATGCTAGTACAATTTTTTGGCCGTTGAACATGATCTACTTCCTATGTGTCAACAAAAATAAGTTTCTGCTAACTCATGTCCTCAGGGAAAGGCAGAGAAGAAGCCTCAAGAACGATGCTTAATCATATTATACCAGTTTTGCATCAGCAGCAGTTTTTTTGGGGGGGGTCAGTGTAAAGTGCTAGTTCTACTCTTTATGCCCTATATGATTTGGGGTAGATTATTTGAAGGACTTCATTCGCAAGGGATGTGGGACCTTTGGTCCTCCAGAAGTTGTTGGACTACAACTCCCTTCATCTCTGATCATTAGCCTTCCTGGCTGGGGTTGATGGAAGCCGGAGTCTGACAACATCTGAAGGGGCACAGGTTCCCCATCTCTAGCCTGCAACCACAAGGGTCTGCCTTTGGCCCTAATAAGGTGGCCTGAATAACATGCAAATTGAGGTTTGGTACAACACTTACCCAAACAGCTGTAATTAAGTGGTATCCAAATTGTTGAAATAAAAATAGGCAAGTAAATAAATAATAAAGCTCACATTTGCTTATGCAGGTCTGTAGCATCCCACTATTTAAAAATGTTGCTTCCAGATTCCTGACACAAGTAGTGGTGTAATCATTGGGAATTTCAGTGGACTTAGAAGTGTAATCCGAGGAACAATGAAGGAATATAAGAAGCTGTTCTTTGAGGCCCCTTCTGACTATAATTCTGTGATAGGAATAGCTTTGCAGGCCATTTTAATTAATAGACTGCTTTAGCGGTTGCTGAAGATATGTAAAAATGTACATTAGGCAATTTTAAAGTGTGAATATAGAGGGGAAATGTCTGGTTTCTTCTATCAGGCATGTACAATAATATTCTGCCGCAGTACTTTGATCTCCTCTGTCATCCATTTATGTAAAAGAGAACATCAAAGTTAAAATAGAATTTTGCCTTTAACAATTTCTTCAGTTCAGCAGATGGTGACTTTAATTAACCCGATTCACCAAAAACAGAATGCAGCACGTTATGCATCTTTCCAGCTCAAAATATCTCAAAGGCATTTTGCAGAAGTAATGAGCAAAATATTGGCAATGCAAAGTTTGCAAATGTAGCAGACATAATTAGTTCAGCAACATTTTACACAGACTTGCGTAGTTGAATCTGATTTTGTAAAAGGGTATGCCAGTCTAGCGTACCATGCATAAGCTGATCATGCTAAGAGTGTAAGTGATTGGTGAAGTGGAGATGAACAATAAATAAGCCATAGACTTAGGCTCAGCTTCCACCTTCAACGGAAGTAGTAGTTTGATTTTTAATAGGGCCATAGGAAGCTGCCTTATACCAAGTCAGACCATTGGTCAATCCAGCTAAGTACTATCTACTTACTGGCAGTGGCTCTCCAGGTTTGCCTCAGTGTGAGACAAGTTAATGGGTCTGAGAATACAGTCAGATGGAAACAATTCGTAGAAACCTGGTCCTTGACATATAAAAGGGATACCTAGGTGTTCAAAAGTGTTCTAAATGGATTATGTTCTTCATGTATGTGACCCCTGTATGCGGCCCCAATTGGCATATCCTGTAGTTTTCTTTTCCATCTAATCTCTTTGAATTGCATGGTTTCTCTTTTACTTCAGGCAAGCACAACTTGATAGTATCTTTGAAGTATTAAATAACAACAACAGCAATACCATTTCCAGATGTCCACGAGCTGTTCAGCCTAGACCTGCTGGAAAAATGTTTCTTAGAGCTGTGCATACTGATAAATCCCACTATGTTCAGTGATGCTTGCTCCCTAGTAAGTCATTTTAGGATTGCTGCCAAAGTATGATTTAAGTGGTTGAGGATGTTACTAACTTCGATTTGTCTGTTTTTGGTAGCAGTTACTAATACCTGGTGCAGTGGATGGTTTGTTTGGATCCCTGGGAGGGCAAGCATGCTAGTGTCAATCTTCCCATCACAATGTACAGTGGTACCTTGGGTTAAGTACTTAATTCGTTCCGGAGGTCCGTTCTTAACCTGAAACTGTTCTTAACCTGAAACAGCACTTTAGCTAATGGGGCCTCCTGCTGCTGCCGTGCCACCGGAGCCCGATTTCTGTTCTTATCCTGAAGCAAAGTTCTTTACCTGAAGCACTATTTCTGGGTTAGCAGAGTCTGTAACCTGAAGCGTATGTAACCTGAAGCGTATGTAACCTGAGGTACCACTGTACAATATTTATTTATTAGAATTTGATACTGCTCATCAGCAAACTCCTGGGCAGTTTACAAAAAGTATGAATTGATAAAATGCAAAATAAGATCAAACCTCCATTAGAAACAATAGCAATACAACTAGTGTAAAACCATAAAAAGCAAAACCAGCTGCACTCCTGCAGATAATCTCAGTTATTGAGCTGGGATACAACTGGGCCAGAAGGCAGCTCCACATAGAGTGCATTGCAGTAATCCAGCCTCAAGGATGGATTACACTGGTCAGGCTCTTCCTGTCAAGGGACACCCATAGCTGGTGAACCAGGCAGAACTGGTCAGAGGCACTCCCAGCCACAGAGGACACTTGGGCATTTAGTGTCAAATATATATCCAAATGTGCCCCAAGCTACTCACCTGGTCCTTCAGATGGAGTGTGACCCCATCAGGAACAGGTAACTTGCTGATCTTCCCAGGATTAAAGCACAGTGTATTGTTCCTAATTCAGTTCAGCACTGCATTCAGACACTGATCCAGATCTTTCACAGCCTCTCCTGATTCATATGTTATAGAGAAATAAAGCTTTATGCTGCCAGAGTACTGATGACACCTTGCTCCAAAACGTCAAATTTTAATGGCAGCTAAGTGCAACTACCTTTGTCTGTATCCAATACTATATTTTGTTGCTCAGCAAGATAATGCTGAAACCTGATTCATTACTTTAAGTATATCTGATATTGCATAGTATTTTTTTTGTTATATTACTAAATATTATTGAAATTATTTTTTTATTATATGAAAGCAATATACCAACTAGTTCTATGTAAAGAGGTTGATGTTTACATCTAAAAGCTGGGTAAAATGTGTCAAGATGTTCTGGCATAAGCTGTTCTTAATATGTGATGTTGATGTTGTTTGATTATGCTTTCCGTGGACTAATAGAGATACCGATTAATGTTTTTTACATGAGAGAAAACAATTGTGTTGATGCTGTGTCTAGCTATGGAAGCTGAACACTAGTTGGTGTGAGTAGGTGCAGTCTTTGCTTTGTAGCTACACGGACAGCAGTACTGATGGAACCATAAATTCATCAGTATTTTTATGACTGGGATACTCCCACGACCTATCTCCAGTACCTATCATAGTCTTCTATTTAATTTTCTCTGGTCTTTAGCCTTAAGTGCTTACAACTAGCCTTCCTTGGCTGTACATATATATAATATACCTTCTTAAATGCTTCATTCATTTGATAAAGGGGTCTGTTGCCCGCAAATGCTTATGCAATGAAAAATACTGTTCCTTGTTAAGTAAGGTCCCACAGGGCTTTTTGTTGTTTCTCTTTAGATTTTGCCTTGGGCCCAAGAAATTACTTCACTTTCCCTCCCAGGGCCTGTCATTGCCTTTTTCTTAAAAATGACTTGATGGCATTTGTTTTGTGGTCAGTTTATCAACTCCGATATGAAGATTTAGTTAAGGATCATAGCATGGATGGACATAGTGCTGTCAGTCATTGTTAAAATCACCAATTGTTAAAACAATTTCAAACAGATTTTCATTGGCCTCTAACAACCCCAACCAGTGTCACCCCCTACAGGAAACACCAATAGAAACATTTCCTGAAATTACTGAAACCAGGATGTTCAAAGCACGAATCTATTTTTAAAATATGTTCACCTTCCTATCAGTGTAATTCAGTACACGGAACTGCAGTTCTCAAAATACCTCTGTCCACTCCTTAGAAATTCCAAGTAAATTTCAGTTGGCAAACAGCGATAAAAAATTGGGGAATGGAGGTTACTTTCTTCATACTTTGGCAAACTGTTCTTGCAGCAAATCGAATTTTACGGTCAACATGATTAGAGGTATATATGGAGAACTTGCAGCTAGATTTTTTTTTGGGTGTTTTTGCCTTCATACCATTAAAATTACGATTCACGTATCTTCCATGAATCCTGTGCTACATCCCACACCACTGTATTAGGCAAGTGAAGATTCATACCATTTTTAGTATATATCAACTGCTATTGGGTTCCTGCTTTTGGCCGCTATGAGAACAGTCTGCTGGACTAGATGGGTCATTGGGTTGATCAAGCAAGTTCATCTTACGTTCTTACTAGAGCTGACAGCCAGAGAGAAGACAAAGGGGAGAAGGAATCAAAGAGGCAAGAATGGATCCTGTGAACCAGTTCTTAGAACCAAACTAAATGTGATGCGAAATGCAGTGGTGATTTATCTGATAACAGATCTTCAGTTTATTCTCTAATTAGTCCCACATTATGGCTTTATGTCAGGAAACACACATTCCAAATGCAGTTTTCAACTGGCTATACTGTGACCCAGGATAATTTAATTTACTGCACTTAATTCATGCGAACTGAAGATTTTAAAAAGCATGTGACAAAATCTGATCTATTTCTAGAGGCAAAAACATTTTGTTAAAAATGTATAATTATAATTAATAAGAGAAATAGGACATTAGGGCTGTTAGATGGATTCACAGTATTCAGCTGAAAAATAAAATCATTATTGCTTTGTTGAAAGCTCCCTGGAGCTTACTTGGTGACTTTAAATTATGTACATGTGCATATTTTTTACATTTATATTGACATTTTGGGAATGTTTATAGAAAATGTGTTGGGAAACTAGCAATGCTAGAGGGTTTTTAGGTTTTAATTGCTGTTGTAACATTTATTTTCCTTCATTATTCTGAATGAGATTAATTTTGGTTGAGAGGAAACACCACGACATATTATTGAAGTCTTTTAGGAGCAAAGATTCTATATGCTGTTCTTAATTAATATTTAGAATAGTCCCAATAGTCCCTTCCAACATGCTAGAGATGGAGATCTGGCCTAAGTTTCATACTGTCTTATGATATTAGATCTTAGGTCTGATTCATACATTTGACTACTTGTGCGGTGGTAGCTGCTTCTAATGCAACATCTTGAGCACAGCTCCATGTACTAAGTTGTAAGCAACTCATCATGTAGCTTAAGGAGATTTTGATCATATCCCGTAAAAAGGAACCAACATGGTTGTCTTATCAAATTACTGTGAGCTGAGTATTAGGATAAATTTTCTATAGTATTGCTTAGTACTCTTGTTTTTGTTTGCCTCTTTAAGGACAGTTACAAAAATGCCTTTTAAATTAACTGTACATTGTTATCTGGAATGTGACATTGTTATTAGGGGATAATTATATTTAATTTATAAATATCAAACATTTTTTCATAATGGACATGAGTATATTTGGTTGCAGAGAAAACTTTAAGAAAACCCTATTTTCTAGTTGGCTTAAAAATAATTGGCTTTTAACAACACTTTTGAAATAACTACATGTGTACAAGCTGTTTTGTACATAGACACTGTTGGCACATTTGGAACTCAAGAAGAGGCAGACTTCCTGTTTGCACATACACAGGCAGAAGTTATGCAGAATACAGTATGTGTAGAAAGTGAGAATAAGGACTGTGAACACAGTCCATGCACCCCTCCTCTACATCAAGAATCCTTTTACGTGAGTGTGCATTTGAATTACTTACAAAAATTCTATAACATTTTATCTATAGACTATTGTTATTCAACACCTAAAACCATAAGGTGCTATGCAAAAACTAAAAACAGACTTTGTCCACACGCCTACAATATGAAAGTGAAGGAAAGAAAACAGTGAGTATCTCACAAAAAAGGAAAAGTAGCAGTGTTGGGCTCATAAGAAAAATACAAAATCCGTGTTAGGGTTATATCTTTATTAGTCCAACCAAAATTATCTTGTAACATTTTTGTTTGCCGATTATAGTTCTGACATGGATTTTAGATTGAATATCCATTAGTGGACATCTTGAGAAGTTTGTGGGGAGCAACAATAGGCGAGCACAAGAATATGAACTCTGCTATTTCTGCCTTTGGCCTGATCAGTCAATGGCTTACCAAGACCAGGAACATCTTGGTAGTGGCACCTCAACTAAGGAAAAGCCTTCCTGAAGAGGCTCCTGGTGGCATTTTTATTATCTTTTCCAGGGCAATGCAAATACCTTTTTATTTAATTAGTTTTTAAAACTGTATCTTAAATCTAGAGTGTTGAACTATTTCATGTGGCATCTGTGCAAGGAATATTTTTTGCTGTCTTTTATTATTATTACTTTATTATTATTTATTAAATTTGTGTACTGCCTTATACCGACATGTCTCAGGGCGGTTCACAACATGAAATCACAATATACAATAGCAAAATGCATAATAAAAACAAGAACAATGGTTCCAATACCATTGCTATCATAAACTCACCAGATGCCATGGCATGCCTCTCTGTCTCCCTCCTTCCACTCCCCAATTGGTAGGGACTTATCTTACAGGATTGTTGTAAGGAACACAGCAAGAAAAAAAAAGTGAGTCTAAATGCTGATGATTATTATTCTAGGTATTTTGGCGTGGAAAAGGTCTGCTTTGCGATGCTGTTTAAAAGGTCTTTAAATCCATTCCATGTGGTAAGATTAATGTGCTGAAAAATGTTCAGAAGTCAGTGTTTTCCATAATCTGGTTGATATGAATTTTGCCATATGAAAATAAGTAAGGTACATGTGAAAACCCATTATTTCTTTCTAATAGCAACCAGCCATATACCCCTGCAAACTCACAAGTGTGATGGCCTTCTCTGTTGTTTGTCCCAAGCATCTGGAATGCAGAGATGTGTTGTTTTTGAACCTAGAAATCCCACTAGGTTATCACACATAATAGCTTCTGGTAGACCTGTTCTCCATTACTGTACTTGTAACCATCAGACATTCTTAATTGTTTTCCATGGGGGTTGTGGAGGGATCACATGCACTGCTCCTGCGCTGTCCAACTTTCTCTTAAGGGCAGGTTGCTGACCTAAAGCTGGTTTGTTCAGCTGAACTGTAAACCCTCAGTGTGTTGGGAATTCTGATTCTTCAGGGTTTTTGACTGGGGAAAACTGTTTAAGTACATTTGGTCAAATGCACTAACAACCCCGTTTCAGACATTACCACTTAATGGGGAAAGGTCAGGAGTGCTGGGTCAGTGCATGTTGTCCCAACCTCCTCCATGGATACAAATTAAGAATGGCTGAAGAAGACTTGAGTCTGATCCTTTTCTAAAGCTTGTTTAAGCTGTCGATCAACCCTATATGTGACAGTGAATTTCACAGGTATTTTTTTCTTGTGTGTCCTTAACCTTCTGCCAGACACCTCTATTGATGATAATTTGTGCTTATTTTCTTAGTATTGGAAAAAGTAGCATCCCTTTTTGTATTGTAGGAGATACTTCAGTTGTTATAAATGATACACAGTACAATATATAATTTATTCTGCATTGGGGGAATAATCTGACTGCTTCCTAGACATTGCTAATCTTTGGAGAGCTTTAATTGTGATTTTGAGTGAGATCTATGCAGACTCCATAAGGTCTGGGTGAATTAAGTTTGGCAAGACAACAGAAAGTGAATCCAAGTTTGTTTCCCTAGTTGTTGCTTTTAAAAGCAGCCACCTCCTTTGGAAGCACTCTTCAGTTATACTAATGTAAGTCTGAAGATTCAAAAATAGCACTGTTACCACAAGACAGGAACTATGATTAATTTATAGCATAGGAATGGTGCTTCACTTAAGAAGTTTTAAAGACAATATCCGCTATATTAATTGTAAAAAAAATAAAAGTTGAGTTAGGTAGGACGCTAAAACTTACCCAATGGTCATTGTTCGCATAGGACTTGATAGAGTGACATGGTCAGAGCACCACCACTTGAACCCAGTAGGGCAGAAGGTCTTGCGGGAGGCGGGGGTGCGGGGGGCGGGACAGAATGTCTCTTTTTGCACTAGCTCCCAGGACCAGGCTGGTGCAGCGAAACTATCACCAGTGGCATGCCTACCAATGGTAGTGTCTGTCCACTTGCTATTTAGGCAGGGACATTCAAGTGCTCCTAATCAGTGGGCCAGTGGACACCACCACTTCAAACCCCCTAGAAATCATGGTTTTGGACTGCTCTGCCCAACTTCCTTCCTCATTAATTCAAACTAATTATGGTACGGCATTTGAGATTCTTTACAATCCCACAGACCAGTATGGTGCAGTGGTTAAAGTGTCAGACGAGGATCAAGGAGATTGGGGTTCAACTGCATACTAGGCTATGATCCTCATTGGCTGAACTTGGACCAGTCTCCATCTTCTAGCCTCACAAAGTTGTAAGGATGAAATCATGGACTGAAATATGACTTTGGCGCATGACTTCAGTCATTTTTTGGTGTGATAGGTCCAAACTCACAAATTACACTATTAATTAAGGGGGGAGAGACCATTTTTTGTTGCTTTCTAAAAAATCATGGGTAGCTCCTGACACTCCACACTAGTTCTATATTAATAGGCAAATATATATTCCTATATAGAATTGTAAATAAGTTTTAGGCTAGGAATTCTTCTTCATTAGCTACATAAAATTTCATAGTGGGTACTTAATGAATGGCAGGCATTTTTATTGTCTAAAAGTGACTAGAACAGCCCACCTTACTTGTGCTTCAGTCCTAGTTTTAGTTTCACTTTCCATATCTTACCACAATTGCCTGACTATTCAGGATCACATTTCACCACAGTGGGGATTGGTAACTTGTTAATGGAGGGGAGCACTTCCTAATTTCCATTTATGCACTGAAGAGTTAAGTACATTATTTTAAGGGTCAGGGTGTTTAATATTTATATTGCCAGTAAGATATATTTACAGAAATGGAGGACCGCATACAGTATCTTCATAATAATTTTTAAGTTTTAGGCAGCATTCCCATCTCTAATGGAATATAGCCTGCATTTGTTATTTTTATCTTTGTAATACAGTACAGTATTTCTGCTAACTGTGAAACTTGTCTTCAGCATTACTAAATAAATGCCCTGTAATGTCTGTTTAGACTAAATAGCTGCTGCACATTCCAGTGGTAAATGCAGATGATTTGGGTGCAAATCATGTATTCCCCAAAAGATATGCATATTTATACCTGGGCCTACTCTGGAAAGAGTTCAGAGTATTACATCTCAAGAGGGGCTTGTTCCACACAGTACAGTGCATTCTGCATGCCATCCCCATGCCTCTGCCCCAGTCTGCCAAGGTGGTTCTGTCCCATGTGGCCCCTGCCTGGAATTCTGGCTCTATCTTTCGTCTTCCCAAGGACCCTTGCCAGAAAAAAGCCCAAGCCTCATGTAAAAGGACACTCCCCCCCAGCACAGTCTGTCCCCTCCCCTGTTGTCTACCTACTCCACTTGCTTATATGTCAATAATCAGACACTGCAAATAGTTTTTCCTTATTCTGAAAATAAGGAATGAAAAAATACCTTGAAATATCTAGCCGCTTAAATTTAGAAGTGTCAAAAAGGTATGATGTTACCATTCATTAGCATGCAGCAGGAATGGAACTTGCTTTTTAGAAGGCAATCCTGTATGTGGTTGCAAGGGGGTGGAGAAACAATAGGAACTGTAGAAAAAGGCAGGAGTGGCTACTCTTAGAATGTGCAAAATCATAGGAAAGCACTCGTCTTCCTTTTCTTTCTATCTGTGAAAACTTTTATTACTTTAGCATTCTGCTTTAATATTGTAATGTCTGTAATATGGTATATTTTGACATGTCCTGGGTTGGCTTTTGCTTTTCTTTTTTCAGCCATCATGTATGTAATGGGAGCACTTGGTCCAGCAGCAGGATATTTATTAGGCGGAGTTCTTATTGGGTTTTATGTGGATCCTAGAAGTACTGTTAATATTGACCAGAGTGACCCTCGTTTCATCGGTAACTGGTAAGTTGCAGCCGTATGTCTGTTATGCATGAGAATGACCATTGACATTGGATTCATGATCCAGCTAATAACATCTTTTTGAAGGTGGTTAAAGCAGCTTAACATTTGACCGTGTCCTTGGCAGTTCTGAGTTTAGAGTAACTGCAGTGCGTGATGCATCTGTGGATTGTTTAACCAGATTGATTGCTGGTTTGTCACTTATTTTTTTCTGTTGTTTGCTAGTTGTACATGTAGAAATATGAATAAATATTCAAAGTTAAAAAGGTTTTTAGAAACCAAGTACTTTAGCATTTGCAGCAAAGCCTTTAGATTCCCTTCCTGGAGTATGTGTGTGTGTTTCTGTGCCAATATCCAGCTACACTTCTGCACTTCCAACTATATAGGAGTTAATATGTGAGAATAATTCAATTTGCATAATTAGTCATGCATTCTCATTTTATAGCTTGCTGTTGTGAGACATTGTACTGGCACAAATTATGATGCTTTAACATGTCTACTTGAGCAACAGAGGGGTTGTCACAATAAAAGATTTATGCAGATTTGTGGGCAAGATAGCTGAATGGACAAACATAAGTTGCCAGGCACAAACAACAGAGATGGGCATCACCTTTATGCCCTGCTTGTGAGTTTCCCAGAGATGCTGGAGTAGATAGACCTTTTGGTTAGAACCAACAGGACAATTCTTACTTGTTGTGTTTCGCTTGCCAAGCAGCCCATGCTGTATCAGTGCATTTTCAGATTAATTAATCTCAATTAATCACATTCCCCTTCTGTTGGAAGCACAGAGTAGCTTCCTATAGATGTATCAAACATTCTTCCATCCAGGTACTGACCATGATGATATCTGATTAGTGTTAACAACTTTAGCACCCTAATTTCTTCTTGCTGTTCGCTGAGATAGCCAAGTTGACAAAGCACTGTTTAGTTTTAGCAGCAAGTGGGTTAGAAACAGCTGCAACGACATTAAAGGAGCAGCAATAATTATATAAGAGTCGCAGTGAAGGGAGTTAACAATCTAACCATGAACAATCTAACCATGACAATAATAGTGGTGATCTTAATTTGAAGAAATATGGCCTTAGATTTTCCAGACATTCAGTGCCAAACATCTGCCAGAAATAACTGGGTGCTGTGCTATAATTAGGCACATTTACAAGGCACTGAGTAGCCATAAAGCCTATGGCTTCTTATTTCTACCAGATGCTCCTTAATTGGTGTTCTGCAGATGGTACACTCAGCTACTTAATGGCCAGCAGCTGGTGACCTAGGAATGTGGGAGGTCTCCATCTCTCTCTACCGGTATATATTCATTCTGGAAAATCTAACACAGGTAGAGTAAGGTAACCCATGTGAACCACACACAGAATAGAATATTAGGACGGAATAATACCGAGTCCATGTCAGCATCCAGTTCTGCAATGTTTTTCCTCCAGAAAATATTTTCTTTCAGATTGGCTGTTTGGTTGCTACACATCAACCGTACAGGTGAAAAGAAAACTCTGACTGAACTGGAACGCAACTGAAGTTTGAGAGCCAAATTTAGCTTAGTAACTAGAGACAAAAGAGATGAGGGAAAAGTAGCACCAGTGGCCACATAACTTTAGTTTCCTACTAAATGCTGAGGAGGACATGCTTAATTCACTGCTGAAATAGACACCTGCTGTCTGCCTTAACATTCATTTCAAACTTATTTTGGTTTGTACTGCAAGTGCTATTTGCCTACTTGATTGATATTCTGTCACCTAGTTTTTGTTGATTTAATAGAAATTCATTTTGTATCATATATTGGCTTGATTCGCACATTATATGAAGCCTTGGTTTGTTTATGGATTAAACTTTAAGCTATGGTTTTTAAAACAAACAAACAAACAAACCAACCAAACAAACAAACAAACCACAAGTTCTCCCATAGACAATCAAATAAACCATGGCTCATTTGGTTTGCTTTCTAGCTGCTCTGGCCTCATGGCTTTACACTTTGGTGAGCATCTGTGATGGGATGGCCAAACAAGCTGTGGTTAAAAAAGGGTGCTGGATTCACACTTAATGCAAATTATAGTTAAAGCAAACAAAGCTTTGTCAGGCTCTTAGAAGCCAGTTCATGATTTGGCAGTACAAAAATCCTAGTTAAGCTGCGTGGTTGGGTTCACACATAGCTTAATCAACCATAGTTAATTAACCATAGTTAATTAATAAACTGCACTTAAATGTTATGTGCAGACCAGGCTGTTTGAGTCTTTGTGATTCTAGTTGTGACTCTTGTATGTCAATTTTTTTATTTTAGTCGCCATGTAAAGAAATATTTTATGAAATAATTAGAAGTACATTGGATGTTTTCTGTTTTATAAGATGCAGAGAATCTTTGTACAGTCTCAGTCACTAGTTTTTGTTTCTGGTTGCAGTACACATATAGCTCAGCTGCAATTGTTCTTTTTTATCTCTCAACTTCAGGTGGAGTGGGTTCCTCCTTTGTGCCACTGCGATGCTTTTTGTCATACTTCCAATGTTTACTTTCCCCAAAAAGCTTCCACCTCGACACAAGAAAAAGAAGAAAAAGAAGATGCATGCTGATGATGTTTCAAGTGATGATGATATTGTAAAAGAAAAAGCAAACAGCAAAAGTCAGTTAGACCATGAAGTCCCTGCTTCAATGGGATTTGGAAAGAATGTTAGAGGTAATATATGTTTTTTAAATATCAGATTGGGGTGAGGTTTAAAATCATACCATTACTGTTAGTTTCTGCTGAAAATTGATAATGAAAGCCAATAGGCAATAATAGCGCACTTGGGAAATGGGAGAGTAACCAGTGTTTTGTAGCATATGGTATTCTATCTCAGGACCAACTGTAATCTCTGGCCAATCCACAGTTGCTGTTGGGTAAATCACAACATCCTGGCACATGCAGTCCGTGCAAAGCATGTCAGGATCATTCAAGACATTTGTCATGTTCCTCCACAGCTTCATAAATCATCATGTGGCCACATTCTCTCCCCTGTCCCGCAATCCTGTGGCCTCATATGGATTATGTAGCTGTGGAAGAATGTAAGAATATGATCAACAGTTTTTGTTACTGCCTTAGATAAGCTGGAAACAGCCTCTGCATGGTAGCTTTTGTCATCACCACAAGGAATAGCACCAGTCACGATTTCCTAGGTCCTCATCATGTAGATGGTCTCCATGCCGGCATCTGTCTAAAAATGAGAACTGGCGGGTGCTTAGGTAAATATAGGAAGCAGATATTCAAATGAGGTGTGGGTTAGTTACATTCACAACTATTGTCTGGACACTGGAAATTCTGAAACTGAAAGTGCCTTCCAACTGGAAATTGCAGAGCAATGCTGGTTATTCTAATAACTTGTGATGAAAAAAGTATAAAGTTTAGTAGCCAGAAGTTGCAATTATATGTGTAGTGACCAGGGGTTAAGTCCCTTTTAACGCATTGGTACAGTGGTACCTCGGGTTACATGTGCTTCAGGTTACATACACTTCAGGTTACAGACTCCGCTAACTCAGAAATAGTACCTCGGATTAAGAACTTTGCTTCAGGATGAGAACAGAAATCACGCGGCGGCAGCAGCAGGAGGCCCCATTAGCTAAAGTGGTGCTTCAGGTTAAGAACAGTTTCGGGTAAAGAACGGACCTCTGGAACGAATTAAGTACGTAACCAGAGGTACCACTGTACTTACTTTTGGGGATGCGGGTGGCGCTGTGGGTTAAACCACTGTGGTGCTTGGGCTTGCCGATTGGAAGGTCGGCGGTTCGAATCCCCGCAACAGGGTGAGCTCCCGTTGTTCGGTCCCAGCTCCTGCCAACCTAGCAGTACGAAAGCACGCAGTGCAAGTAGATAAATAGGTACTGCTCGGGCGGGAAGGTAAACGGTGTTTCCGTGTGCTGCTCTGGTTTCGCCAGAAGCGGCTTAGTCATGCTGGCCACATGACCCGGAAAAACTGACTGCGGAAGCGGACAAATGCCGGCTCCCTCGGCCTTTAAAGCGGGATGAACACCGCAACCCCAGAGTTGTTTGTGATTGGACTTAATTGTCAGGGGTCCCTTTACCTTTACTTACTTTTGAGTGGGCATGTATAGGTTTGGCTGCAAATTACTGCTATCTCACCAAGCAATTGATACAATGGGTTGAATCCAGACTAAGGCTGAAATCCTAATCCTGTTTACCTGGGGAGTAGGTAACTCTCATTGAATTCAGTAGAGCTTACTTCTGAGTAGATATGTTAGGCTTGTGCTGTGTCAGCCACTGTTTGCCAAAACCAACTTAAGTCCTATTGATTTTAGTGAGTCTGGATCCAGCTCAATGTGTTCAGATAGCTGTCAGTAGAAATATCATAACATCCAGAGCAGAGAACAGAACCAGCTTGCCCTGTATGTAAAGATTTAGTCATTGTTATACAAATTGGGAAAGCAAAGGAGTTATATGTTATCTGCTATTGGGCAAATGTACAATTGCCTTCATTTTTCTCCAGTTTAATTCTGTCTATACATTAACGTAATTGAAACAATTTCTGTTTTAAGACACTGCAAAAGTAATATATTATAGTTGGTGGTACTAGTAACAGAAATAATATATATAATATCCTATTTAAACTACTCTTATTGGGCATTCAAAGCCCATAAGCACATGGGGCAGAAAATAAGACACAAAGGGGTACATAGAGGCTGATTTAGGGTCATCCAATAGTGGCTCAACAATGTATGCATAAGCTTTTTGCCAGTGCATACAACCTCTTCACTCCTTCCTTTTGTATGAGTCACAATTAAATCAGGAAGTCATTAAATAACTAGTTTTTGAGCAGGGAAATCCAAAGAAACCAGGATTTTCAACCATGGTTGGTTTGAAGTTGTTTTAAAATCTGGGCTTGCTTTATAGTTGGTTTCCAATGTGACCGACTGACTCCCCCCACAACCTTTTGTGGCCTGTAATATAATTCTAGCACCATTTGGTGACCTAGTTGTGGCATTGTCATAAAACTGCACCATCATTTCTTGGCATATTCACCTTTGAAAATGTCACCTTTTTCTTTTTCTTTGACATTGCAGTGTCATAATTGCTCAGTTAGCAATTCAGCAGATTTAATTGGCTTTGGAGAAAATGTGCTTCATGCCATTTTTTAGTTTTGGCTTTCTTCACATCTAAACTTTGTGATGCAGTTCCTCAACCATTCTCTTTTGCGTAGTTCAAATCTGAGCAAGTCTTCTGGAAATAAGACTTTCAGCATTGTCCTCTAAATGACTGTGTGTCAGGAAAAGTTGCAGAGTAGCATTCTGCTGAATTTTTGCAGTGACTGCTATATGTCTTCATTATTTTAAATGAAAAATTGCTGCATCCACCTCCACTTTAATTCCCCAGGGCTTGCCGTAATGCTTCTCCTTGGCCCCTATTAAAAGTATTCATTACAAACGTTGGGGGAGAAATCACCCTTATTGGCTGTTTGGCCAAGTTGACCTGAAAATGGTCAGGCTATGCTGCAAAGTGGAATGATCTCCCCTCTCCTCCCTCTATGTCCCCACAAGTGGCTCAGGGGTCGGGTGTTGGTAGAACAGTGTTCAGGAAGAGGATTGTTCTCTCTGGCAAATTGAAATGCTTACAAAAATTATGTCCATTGCAGTGATATGAAAAGTTAGGGACATCATTGTGTTTGTGGTGAGGAGAGAAGTAGTGGAGGTTGCAGAGGAGAGTGTTTGCTGTTGTAGTTTCCCCCTATCGTCTCTTGTGTTCTGTGTTGCTCATTTATAGTCTGCTTGGCCAGTCTCTTTCTTCTTGGCACTTTTAAATGTAAGACAGTTGCTGAAACATCAGCCCTGCAAAATGTCCCTATGAGGTTGAGGACTGGAGGCAGTAGAGGATTTCTGATAAGACACACTGAGCGGTCCTCACTATGCTCTTCCTGTCTCTACACTCAGTTCCTTTTTTCATGGTGGCATGGGAACTACAGTAGCAGAACCCCTTCCCATGTCACTTGGATAATATGATGAACACACATCCTGCCTCTACCGTAGGCTAACTTTGCCCCCATTTCCAGGAGTAGTGTTCAGATAGGAATGAGCTGCAGCATGGGCTCATTTATGACCATTTCCTGACCCGCACATGAAGGAGCCATACTGCAGTAGCTTCTGTACAACCAGTGTCACATCAAAAGGAACTTTTGAAATCCATATAATGTTGGGCTGTACCCTGCTGTTCATTATAACCAAGGCCTGCCAAACAGGATTGTGTATTTAGTTCTACAATTACAGTTCCTGGGACTTGGACATCTGATCCTAGCTTATGCTGAGTCAGTCTAGTCCAGTATTGTCTACTCTGACTGTCACTGGCTCTCCAGGATTTTTGACAGAGATTTTTCCCATCACCATCTACCTGATCTGTTTAGGATGAGATGCCAAAGACTGGACCTGGGGTCTTTTACATGTAAGGCAGGTCGTCTGTCACTGAGTTGTTTACTCCTAAGACTTCTACTTGTGGAAACACACTTGGGAATGTTGGAAAGGCACTAACATATGCTAATATTATTTTGTATTCACATTGTGGAACCCCCAGGAAGAGGTCTTGGATGGTAACCATCCCTTCAAATCCAGTTCAAAGCAGGCTGATTTTCTTTTTGTTTTCCATTCATTATGTATATATAAAGTTCATGTGTCATACTTCTATTTTTATTTTTGTGTCATTTGTAGAACTTCCAAGAGCAGCTGTCAGGATCTTAAGCAACATGACATTCCTTTTTGTGAGTTTGTCATACACAGCCGAGAGTGCCATTGTTACTGCTTTTATTACCTTCATCCCCAAGTTCATCGAGTCACAGTTTGGCATCCCAGCTTCTAATGCCAGCATCTACACTGGTAAGGCATTGCCATCAGTAAGGAAACCTGTAAGAATTATTCTTCTGTGACTGGCAAAAGAAAACTATTAGAAAAGTTTCAGCAATGCTCTTTTTAATTGTTTGTTTTACAGTTTGCAATTATTCGGCCTTATAGGTACCCATTGCTTATATATGAGCAATTTGCCATGCCTGTAGTGTGATAATGTTTTCTCATGCGGAAATAAAATTGCTCTGGCAATGCCAGCACCATCGAAAGGTTGTCCTGACCTGTTAGATTGCTACTGATTGCTTAAGAGTGAACTTTACTGCTCTTTCAGCATGTCTCACTCTCTTGCTTGCAGGTCATTCATTGGTCAAATGGCCTGTCCATATCTTTACTCATTTTTCATCTCAGCAATAACTGAAACTATTACTCTGGTTATTTAAATCTATATAGCTCTTGTATGAATTTCCATGTAAAGGCATTAAAACATCACAATTACCAAGCTGAATGAACCCAAAGGTCCATCTATTTTCTCCCAGCAGTGACTATTTGCAGGCCTCTGAGTTAATTGGAAACAAGGCTATTCCATAATGTTTGCTTCCAGCACCTGAGAATCAAATGGATGTTGCTCTGAATTTGGGCATTCCAGTGGTGGCGATCATAATATGCCTTATATACCCTCCCATCTTTTGGCCACATACTCAAAACAGATTACAAAATACATTAAATATTAAAACCAACATTATCGTTGAGACAGCATAAAACATAGTTAAAACAATTCATTTTTTAAAAGGTGGCACCATAAAATCAACCTGCAAACACTAAACCCTTCCCCAAGATCATCCTATATGAAATAGTTTAGCCTCCTTTAAAAAGCCAGCTAACATAATTATCAAGGTTTATAAATGTGCTTAGAAAGGACCCATTTAGCTAAACTAAAATAGCCTAATGTAAATTGCATCTTGGCAAGACTTCACTGCTCTAGAGTCCTTGAATGGGAAAACACTTTCTATTTACTGCCAAAGAAGAGGTCTAGGAAGGGTAGTTAAAACTGTGTAGTTAGAAGAGATGAAGAGAAGTAATGGAAGCACCTTGACATGGAATTCCTATAGGGGCAGGAGAAACTTAGTTGAAACGTTCCATATTTTAATAATTTTTTATTAGGGGAGTAACTAAGAGACGTTTTGTACAAATGGTGAAATAAAGAAAATTGGCGCAGACAATCCTGTATGGACACCTCCACAGCATATGGAAGTTGTTCATTCTATAACATAAAATACAGTAAAGGCTATTTTGATTGACAGTCTTGTAATTCCATGTGATTAGTACAGAAGCTACTCAGGCTCTTAACGAATGTTGCTTCTGTGTTTTATGGCATACCCAAGGGCCTTAATTGTATCATTGCCTAGTATTAGATGTGTACTCATAAAGTCAGGGTAAACCAAGCCTTAAGGTTGATATGAGAAATTGCTAATGTCCAACCCAAGAATGAGAGAGACAGAAACTGGTTAGTTGATGTATACTTTTGGATCAACTTAGATTTTTGAAAAAGGTCTTTATCACAGCCCAATTCTGTCCATTTTTTCTTCACATTTAAGCCTCACTCTACTCAGTGGAGTCTATTTCCTTGTTTAAGATTGCCTAGTACCACTTGTGAAAACCATACAATAGGTATTTGTATATTATTATTTTCTCCAATGTTGGAAAAGTTTTTGCTGCAACCTTTTGAAGCCAACTCAAGGACAGAAACTGGATATTGCTGACTCAAAACTATTCTTGGTTTGGGGCACTTAATACAGTAGCATATTTGACACATTCAGAATCCATTCTTAGCTGTCTTTGGAAAGTAACTTATGTGTGACACAGTAGCAAGCAATCAGATACTAGATTTGAAAATGACATGTGACACTCTTGCTTAGCACATGCTTAACTTTGGAATCTCCTTTGAGCAAATCATGGCATAACCGAGTGCTCTTTTCAGAATGCATTGCTTTGCATTTCATATACAGTACATAGTCAAAAAGAATATGTGTTGTTTCCCGTGTGGCCTTTACAAAGTCCGTTTTGTCAGTTTGATTTTAATCTGCTTCTTGGAGTCTATAAATTGTTTACCACTTATTTCTAGTGGTACAGTTGCTCATTAATAGAAGGGCCTATATAGGGAGCATAAACAAATATCACCTAGATTCTCAAAAGGAAAACAAAGCAAATGAGTTTAGCACATTTGGTTTATAGTTTTGCACAATAACTACAGTGTTTCTTATTCTTGATTGCCATGAGAAATAATGAAATATTTGTTTAAAATAGAAGGAACTCCATGTGCAGGGATAACTGAGTTCAAATGTCAAGGAAGCAGTTGGTAGAAGGGAAGAGATCAAAGGGAAAGGAGCTCCCAAATTCTAAGGAGATTTTGTAGAGATGCAACAACAGGCCAAAAGTAGGCCCTTTGGTTTCTCAGGCTCTTACTTGTTTCCCATATAGTCCACACCTTGCCAGTACAGAATTTCTTACTGTGAAGTAATTGATTTGCAGATCCAGTTAATTTACCATCCTTCCATGTGTTTGACTTTGCTTTGCCACTTGCAATAAATAGATAGATATAAATATTTTAGGCCGTGATGCATTTCCCCCCCTATTTTCTCTCTCTCTCTCTGTTGAGACTTTTCAAAAACTAGATCTAGCATCAGGAAGACAGTTCCATAAAATAATCCTTAGTCATGAAATCCCATCTAAAAGGAAATGAATTACAATCTATACCACGTTTGTATCTAAATAAAGAATTATCACCCAATTAGAAACTTAATTTAATTCTCTTGAATTTCATGTATTTTCCAACAACACTTGGAGCTGGTTCCCTTCCCAGCCTAGCATGAAAACAAAGCAATATTTCTGCTTGTATTTAACAATAGCTCTATTTATTCTGTTTCTGCTGCTTCTGGAAAAATCATAAGGAAGCTTTTATTAATCCTTTGACATAACCGAAGGGTAGTGAAAATTCTGACACTTTTTTGCTGTGGTGAAGTTCTCATGAAGAATTGCTGTGACGGTTAAGTTGCGTTTTGGGCTGCACTACTTTTCACTTAAGGTGATGAACATATGATTAAATGCTCCTCCATGAAGAAGAAAAACCCTGCCAGAAAAGTAGCATGTCACAGAGAAGGCTTAGGCTAGTTAGATTCCTTCTCCTTCATATCTAGGTGTGTGTTTTTCATATGTACTGATTTTTAATTTTGTATGGAAGACTATTACTTCAGAATTTGTATATTGCCCCCCCTTCTGGTACACAAAATACAACAATAGAATTTATTATATGCTTCATATGCTAATAAAAATCACTATAGAATTTATCGTATACTTCAAGCACTAATAAAATCAATCTGAATACATTAAAGCAGTAGTGGTTAAGACCATGCACAGCAGCACACATTTTCATTAAAAACTGCTTGAAAGGTCTGCATAAAATCCAGTACTATATGTGTGTGTGTGTGCCTTTTTAGGGAAGGCATTCCACAAATATGGGGGCCACCACCAAAATGACCTGTCTCTAGTTCTGACCACTTTGATGGATCTGGATGGTGAGTCCACAGACAGGACCTCTGAGGCTGATCTTAAGCAGATTCAATGTGTGCAGGGCAATCATGAAATTGCCCAATTATCGCCTCATCTGGTTGTGTGAGAACCAGCCTTAGGCAATGGGGTCATATTGTTTTGTCTTTGCATGACATCCTTAGAGTTCTGCTTGAATTTAAGGATGGGATATTTAGTGTTTTATCATAAAAATAGTGTAGAAATTTCACAGCCACACTGGTAGGGAAGGTTTTTCTCTTCCCGCCCCCTTTTATTCTTTCATTCTTTGTAACATAGAAAGTGTTTTAATTTTACCCTTTTCTTTCCTTTTAATCAGGTGTGATCATTGTTCCAAGTGCTGGTGTTGGTATTGTCTTAGGGGGCTACATTATAAAAAAACTCAAGCTCAGTGCAAGAGAGTCTGCAAAGCTGGCAATGATCTGCAGTGGTGTGTCTTTGCTCTGCTTTTCAACACTGTTCATTGTTGGATGCGAAAGCATTAATCTAGGGGGGATAAACATACCATATACTACCGGGTAAGTATCTTTTGGCTTTCTAAATAATTCATGCCTTCATCAAAGCTAGCCTGCTTATATAATGGTAGTAAACTTGCCTTATTTCATAAGGACATTAAATGTGGCAATCAAAAGGGGGGGGGGAGAGGGAGAGAGATAACCACAATTTGAAGCTTTTGTGTAGGTGTGGAGAACCTTTTTCAGCCTGAGGTCCTACAATTCCTTGTGGACTGTATGTGCATGCAAAGTGCATGCAGATGTTCAGCAAAGGCAGAAAAATGGAGAAATAGCCTCTTGTTCTGGGCTTACAAAGTGAGTAACCCTGTCTTATATTAAATAAGACAGATCTGACTCAGAATGCTAGATATTTGGGACAAGCACCCAAGACCTAATCTCTGGGCCAGAGAATAGAAACTGCTTGAACATTAGGGGAAGCATCTTAAGAAGAGCAGTTTGACAGTGGAAAAACCAGTATGACAACGGAACCAATTACCTAGAGCAGGGATCCTCAAACTACGGTTCGCGGGCCACATCCAGCCTGCCAGGATCCTGTATCCGGCCCGCCCGGCAATTGCAGAACCCGCCGCTGTCTAATAGGTCTTGGCCCAAAACTTTAGCGATACAGGAACATGGTGGGCGGTGCCAGGGAACACGGGGGTCCAGAGGGCTGGGGAAGGCGAGGCCTCGTCGGTCGGGAGAGAGGCTGCTCTAGCTCGACAAGGTACAGAGGAGCCCCAGGAGCTGTGAGGCTGTTGTGGACTGAACCCTGAGGTTTTCTCTCATTCTATGCTCCTTTCTTCCCACCGCCTTACTAAGTGGCCTCTTTTCCCTGGTTCGCTTGGCACTTCCCGCCCTCCCCACTTTGCTTCCTGGCAGTTTCAACCGAAAAGCCGCTCCTCTCGCTTCCCTTTCTTTCCCCGGTTTCCTTTCCTTCGTCTTTCTTGCGCAAAGGCAGTTTCTTACTCAACTATTCCCTCCCTCGACAGTCATTTGTTTTGAGCGCCACATTTTGCTTTTCATTCTCTCGTTCCACGTCAAATCGCAGGGAACGGGAGAGAAGGGGAGTCGTCATGCCGTCACGCTTTCCTGTGCATTTACAGCCTGCCTTAAGAGAGTTAAGATTACCTGGAGTGTCAGCTTCGCCTTTGAGCCAGTGCCACCGACTGGGCTCAACCACTTCAGCCCCGACTGGGCCAGGCGAGATGGGGTAGCACTTCCAGAAACCTTCTTCTGCAGGAACAGGTCTAAGTGCTGTGGACTCACAACTCAGAGCTGTGAGCACCAAACTCACTTCCAGAAGACAGTCGTGCACAGCAGAGTACAGCAGAGCATAAATCACTCGGACGACAGCGCTGAAGAATATATTCTTTTATTCACTAGGACCCTCGTACCTACGGGACCGCCTCTCCTGGTATGCCCCACGGAGAGCCTCAAGGTCCATAAATAACAACACCCTAGTGGTCCCAGGCCCTAAGGAAGTTAGATTGGCTTCAACCAGAGCCAGGGCCTTTTCAACTCTGGCTCCAGCCTGGTGGAACGCTCTGCCTCATGAGACCAGAGCCCTGCAGGATCTGATTTCTTTCCGCAGGGCCTGTAAGACAGAGTTGTTCTGCCTGGCCTTTGGCTTGGAGCCAATTTGATTCCCTCCCTCCCTCCCTCTCTTTCTTTTTTCTTTTCCTTCTCGTGCGATGAGGCTACATTTTAATATTTTAATGTTCCATTATTTTAATGTTGTATTTTATTTTTGTTTTTAAGTTGTAATCATTCATCTTGTTTTTATTATTGCTTGTAAGCCGCTCTGAGCCCGGCCTTGGCTGGGGAGGGCGGGGTATAAATAAAAAATTATGATTATGATTATTACTGTACTATACAAACTATATATAAATGGAGACGCTGGACTGCACTGAGTGTTACAGCTGCTTTCTGCAGCGACCTTATCTACACAGAGATAACACTCAGTCTCCCTTTTGAAGTGAGGCTGGAGCGGAATAAGTAGCAAGCACAATCCGCCCCCTCCTCTCTGGAAAATCAGCAGATTCTTGCAATTGGAGGGGTGAAATCTCCTCATGGAGACCCACTTCCTTTCCTGCAAATCCCCAAGCCAAAGTCACCTGGACTCTGAGGGCGGTGATGGCGACTGAGGGGAATCAATACGCTGAGCCTTAACCTGTGAGTTTCACCTGCTTGCGCTGAGGGGAAAGAGACCCGTGCTGGCCGTTGCCTGCCTCTGGCAGAGCAGAGCCAGTGTTGACCGGCAACAGCCAGTGTCCACGCCGATGCCACGGATTCTCTGTGGGATCCCAGCGAGGGCTGCTACTTCCATTGTAGCTTCTCCTTCTGGTTGGCAGCACTTGCAGACTTTGCCTTCGCCTGTGGCCAAGTGGCAGGGAGGTCCCCTTTCCCGGTCACTTCCCTTGCCTCCCAACAGTTGGGGTTTCAGAAATCTCCAAGAGCCTCTCCCTTTAAGTGGACCTGGTCATTCCTTTCCTGCCCCCCTTACACACACACCTCATCCGCCCTCCTCTTCTTTCTTCCTCCTTTGACCATTTCTTGCAATCAGAGTTTAATCTCCAAAGACCTGCGTGTAACACAAGTGCCCCCCCCATTGTCACATACTTCTAAGCCCACAGAAACCACATGCACACTGCACCAAGTGAAACTGTGGAAATTGCTGGATTGGACTATCAACAGCTACTAGTTGTGATGGCTATGCTCTGCCTATGCTGTCTCTTCCAATGTCTTCACCCTTGGAGCAACTGCACTGCATTTAATCCAAATATATCTTGTTGAAAAGGTTCACGTTCTGCAGATGGAGATCCTTATATTTCTGGCAGAACAGAGCAAATTGGCTAGTGCCCATGATGTCACCATGTGCAATGCCTTTAAAGTATATTGTAAATATTGAATTTTTTTTACTGTTTTTTTGTGCACCACAAATACAATATGTGCAGTGTGCGTAGGAATTTGTTCATATTTTTTTTCAAACTATAGCCCGGCCACCAACAGTGTCTGAGGGACAGTGAACTGGCCCCCTGTTTAAAAAGTTTGAGGATCCCTGACCTAGAGGGATAGTAGACTCACTTTTGCTCGAGGTCTTTAAGCAGAGACTGGATAGCCTTTTGTTGGGGATGCTCCAATTCTGGATTTCCTGTACCAAGCAGGGAATTTTATTAGGCTGCGCAAAATCTCCTCCAACTCTATAATTCTATGAGTAGCAATAAATGTGGATATTCAGACTTTATCCTCAGTAATATATCTTAATGTATATCATTTGCATTATGAGGCCATAATTGTGCCTATATGTTAATGGTGAGTTGGCTGGGAACACATTCTGCTATAATAATGAGAAATTAGGGGAAATACGGTTTTATGGCTTATAGTTATAAAATGGTTCAATAAAGTGATTTGAAGCTTGACTCTGGCATGTTGACAGCTGTTATGTGTGTTTTTCTTTCAAAGGCTGTGCTGAAATATTTTCCCCCCAGAAAGATTTCTCAGTTTCTCCTGCATCTTTTGAGAAATGGCTTGTTGTGTTAGGTCAAGGGGAAAGTCTAGTATGTGCTTTCCTCTAATGGTAGTTTCATTAAAAAGGCGTTTTTGTGGCCAATATTAGTCAATGGACTTGCTTATTATTTCTGGAAGTAAAGAAGCATGTAGTTGCTAAGCAGGATTCTCACAGACAGCCACATTATTGAAGGGTTTACAGTTCAGTTCAGGTAAGGCAAGGGATTAGAAATTACATCGAAAAGAGATAAGGAGAAGAAACCCAGGAGATAAGTAAAAAATAGTTTGAGAGGCATGGGGTTGAATTTTCAACAGGCAGCTTTTTAAGGCACAGAAGAGCCTTCAGAAAAAACTGGAAAAGGAGATTTAGGGTGCTTGTATGTGATTTATCTGCTGAATTTCCTCTTTTTCCATTGCAGCCTTTAAATGCAAGGCTTGCCAGTTGACCTGAAAACCCCCAGCTGGGCCTGCTTTTGACCTTTAACAACTATACAGTGTGCAGAAATCAGTTGGTGTGATATTAGGCCATGGGAACCTACACATACCCCTGCTAATGTCACCCAGTAAGCCAATTGTACTGGCAAAAAAGCATCAGTAGCCAATAAAAGTTGGCAACTCTTATTTCACTTAATAAATTAGTCTAAAGTTGCTTGTGAATTCTTGCCCTTCTAAATGACGTGTGATATTAATAAGAAATCATTAGTGATAATATTTTTTTCTTTTAAAATTGTGTTTCACATTTTCCATTTCAAGTTTGCCCAATGAGAGAATTATAGGCATAGTTTTCTCAAAAGGTAATCAGATTTGTTGAACAAAACCCCTTTGGTTCCAGCTCTATCATTCTGTGTGAATGGTATTGGTTGCATAAATTCCATGTGTCTATTTCAGTAAACAGAACAATCAGGGACTAGGTCTACAGCTCTGCCACTGACAGCCATGGCAGTAGTGAAGCTGGAACTAGCTACAGGATAAGATACAATACTCTATCAATATTGCCTATATAATGTCTGTTAAGAACATGGCATTAATGTAATTTCACAGAATTTTGCGGCTTGAGTAAACATAGAAAGCCCTTTACACAACATGTTAAACTGAAATGTGTTTTGCTAATTGACTATGTAGATGCTAATTGAATATAAAGATTCAGCCCTATGTGCACTTAATTGGGGAGTGAGCTTAGTCCCATTGAACTTGGTGGGAATTGCTTCTGAGTAAACTATGCATAGAAGCAAACTAAAGTGTCAAAGTAAGTGTAGCAAAAATAGCTAACTTGAATCCATATTTATTTGGTCTAGTTAGTAAATAATATTCCAAATAATATTTGGTCTATTAGTAAATAATATTCCTAGAAAATAGTAGCATAAATGGAAGGATTTAAATTGAATTAAAACAAGCTTTTTAATGCTTTCACATTCTTTGTTCCTTAACTTTGTGTATTTTTGAATGTTTATCAGTTTATTTCACTTGATGCAGAAAATGGTGCAGTTTGAGAGAAGTGACAAGCAAGAGGAGTCAGAGCCATGTTATACACAGGCATTGCCACCATGCTGCAGGAGCAATATGCTTGGCAGACCTCTTAGTTTGGACCAAATGCCTGAAGATGCTCTGTGTTCTGCAACTTTTGAAGTACTTTTCCAACATCATGTGTTGCATCTTTAGCATATGCTCCAACCATCCTTGTTTTATGGTACCAGTTCCCTGGTAAATCATTGTCCCTATTTCTATCTTTGGGGGCTGTCTTGTTCGTATGAGTTGTTAGAGCTGCCAGTCTACAGGATTTTGTGGTGCATGTTGACACCAGTGAAGTGGGAAATGTACTTCTGTGGTCCTGGAAGCTGAATGTAGATTGTTAGGTAAGGAGGTCGAAAGTCAGCACCATCAAGTTATTTCTTTCTTAAATGTTGCCTGTGCCACATACTGGGTAGCTTAGATAGGCAGAGTTGAGGAGCGTCAATGAGTGGATGAGATGATCGTGTCAGGAGAAGGGGTTTCGATCTGAATAACATTTTGGGACAAACCAGGTCTGTATAAAAGGGATGGACTCCACTTGCACCAGAGTGCAACCAAACAACATTTTTAAAAGGTAGCGGAGCAGCTTTTAAACTGACACCAGGGGGAAAAGTCAACAGGAACTTAGGATCATCTGGTTTCAAATTAATCATTCCTAAGAGATGAACATGGGGCGTGGGTGGCGCTGTGGTTTAAACCACTGTGCCTCTTGAACTTGCCGATTGGAAGGTTGGCAGTTCGAGGTCCTGCTATGGGGTGAGCTCTTGTTGTTCGGTCCCAGCTCTTGCCAACCTAGCAGTTCAAAAGCACGCAGTGCAAGTAGATAAGTAGAGCAGCGTTTCCGTGTGCTGCTCTGGCTTCACCAGAAGCAGCTTAGTCATGCTGGCCACATGACCTGGAAAAACTGTCTGCGGAAATGGACAAACGCCAGCTCCCTTGGCCTGTAAAGTGAGATGAGCACCACAACCCCAGAGTCGTTAGCGACTGGACTTAACTGTCAGGGGCCCCTTTATCTTTACCTTTAAGGGATGAACGTATTTATGACTGTCCACATGATGGTGAGGCAGAACTAGGCAATATAAGTGCAGGGGAACAAGATAGCCATTCCAAGAAGCCATTCCAAGAGGCCAAAGCACCCTAGAGCAAAATGCAGGGACATCTTGTATAGTTAGGTCCAGTCGTGACTGACTCTGGGGTTGCGGCGCTTATCTCGCTTTATTGGCCGAGGGAGCTGGCGTACAGCTTCCGGGTCATGTGGCCAGCATGACTAAGCTGCTTCTGGCGAACCAGAGCAGCGCACGGAAACGCTGTTTACCTTCCCGCCGGAACGGTACCTATTTATCTACTTGCACTTCGGCGTGCTTTCAAACTGCTAGTTTGGCAGGAGCAGGGACTGAGCAACGGGAGCTCACCCCGTCACGGGGATTCGAACCGCCGACCTTCTGATCGGCAAGTCCTAGGCTCTGTGGTTTAACCCACAGTGCCACCCGCATATTGTCAAGATAGCTGCTAACTAATTCCACAGCTCCTGAGTTCCTGCAGGCTTTTCCAATTCTGAGGCACCTGGAGGAGCCATCAGGGTGTAGCAACAGGAACAACAGGGAGCAGGAAATATAAACACCATAATAATCAGTGACATTGAGATCCCAGGGACATTGGGAGTGAGTGCTGCTGTTCGGATTTACAGGTCCCAAAGCATATGTGAAGAAAGAATTTATTTAGACCTATGGTCTCCAGACTGGAAACCGATCCTAATCCCTGGTACAGGGAAATGTTTAAAGGGCATTTGTCACTCATGTATAATTAATGTATTGTCGCAGTGCCATGCCTGGGTATAAATATAAATCAGGCAGCTAGGAAGATAAGGAGCTTAAAGGGGACTAAAAGGACACCAACCAGTTCCCCAATTCCCTGCACCCACCCATTCAAATAGGGGATGCTGGCTGTGCCACAAGTTAGTCCTGGAGTCAGAGAAATGATGCTGTGACCTTCATGTCCTGCTTGTGGGTTTCCTTGAAGAATCTGTCTAGCCATGGTTGGAAACAGGGTACTGGGCTGGATGGTCTGCTCCAGCAGCGCTCTTACATTCTCATATCTGCATGTTTTCACATTTGCCTATCATATCCTTTTTAATCCTCTATTTTAGGTTTTAAACTCTTAAGGAGAAGGGTCTTGTTTCTCCTTTCATAGCTGTAACACAGCTGTAGGTGCTCTATAAATTCTAGTAAATTTCTTATGCACAGGACCAAAAGCAGAACCTTCTCTTTAAAACCTTGTGACATAAACAAATGCTGCAAAAAGCATTTGCTTTTCGGCAGATGTATGTATCATAAAACTATGAACTTTAGAAGGATGTTGGATAGAAACTAAGAGGTTTTAGCTGTAATGCTTTAAGAGACATGGAAAAAAAGGTTAACAATTGGGTAAAAGATTAATGGTAAGGATTTGCTGAACCAACAAATTGAATTGGAATACAAAGAAGGGAGGTATGAGGAGGTCCGGGAAATAAGAGTAAGGAAGATAGGCTATGGAACATTATTGTGTTTTTAACTGTTTTATTTTGTATGTTTTTTTTTCTTATTTTTTACTGTTTTTGTTATATCTTAAAACTTTATACTTTTTCTTTATTCTGTACTTTCATGTATCTTTAATAAATATCATTTATAAAAAAAATAAAAAAATAATAAAAAAATAAAACTATGATGCCAATGTAATAGGAAGGGTAACTATGGTTTTGATGGTTCAGTGTAAAAACACAGCTTTCAGCTTGGGAGAAACATTAATATTCCTTTGTGTTTCTTACTCTTAGATTTTGCACTTGGTTGTAATAGTTGGGAAACTACTGAAAGGCTGAAAGGATATTTTGTAAATTTATGTTGACACACTCAGTCCTACACTGATATGCCATAATTTCCCATTATCATCTGAAAACTCCAGGACTTTCTGTGTATTATATCTTAGGATAGATATTGGGAGCTAGACCATTGTGTCTGAAGTTTGTTTTTTAGACAGCAAAGTAGGGGCTTAGTTAGAGGTTTATAATATTATCTGTGCTGTGGAGAAAGCGGACATTGGTTATGATAGTCAAATGGAACATTCAGGTTCCAGTGCCTCTGAATTTCAGTTTCTGGTGTGTGCATGTGTGTGGGACAGACAATGGCAATCCTTTGTTGCCCTTCATTGATATAAAAGTATTTTTATTCAGTTTTTAATGCATGATTGTTAATAACTGAAGCACAAAAGGTACAATAAATTATAAATCAAGATGAAGTGCTTGAGTATTCAAATGCAGAGTATTCAAACCTATGTTCAAATGAGAAATACAGGTATTAAAGAAAGATGGGGGATTAAAACATGCATTAGCATTGAATGCCAAGTAAGAATATTTTTCTACAATGAGGAAGATGGGGCCAGGGGGATAGAAGAGCCCAAGAAGCTTTTGAGTCCTGTTTGCAGGATTCCCCAAACCCTCAGTCTGGACACTCTTGGAATAGGATGCTAGAGCTAGTGGCCCTTCCTTTGATCCAAAAGGATCATTCTTATATCAGACAAACAAGCTAGTCTTCATTGCATTGAGTATAAATGGAAAAATAAAAAGAGCAGTGACAACAGTGAGTTGTTCACGAGTAAATTCATTAGTGAGGGGTCTGTTGTTTACAAGCTGGATACATTCACGTTGTTGTTTGTGTTGGCTGCAGCTGTATCTGACTGCTATATGACAAGCCTGAAGGAGTTCACAAAATGTTCCAAATGGCAGCCAGAAATCAGTCATTACTCCACTTCTTAAAGTGCCAGGCTCAACAGCTTCAGTTCCTTCTCTCTTAACCTTGATCAGTAATTTGAAGCAAAGATCAATCACAGCAACAATTCAGTTTTTTGTGCCTCCTTCGTTATGTAGGCTTCTTTAGGGCACAGCAAATTAAATGTATTAATATTTGGGACTTTGTCTCTGGTTCATCTGTTTTGGTCTGGGGGACTGTAATCTACATGACTGGAAATGTAGCTCAAGGATGAGTTGGTGAATATTTTAGTATCTTTGCAGAAAGAAACTGAAGCAAAGTAGTCTCCAGAACTTGACTTGGATAATCCACTACTTCGATAGGAGGGCTGTCTGAGGGGAATTTCCTTATTTTATTCTAGCCTTCAGTGTTCCTCTCCTCATCTTTTTTCTAGGTGGTTGTAATTAGTTTTTTGCCTGTGTGTGAGGGTGTTTGTACTTGTTTGTCTCTCTTCGTCCCGATTGTGGATGAGGAGGTAGTGGTGGTGTTGCGGCGTTTGCAGTTGGGCTTTTGGGATTCTGGTGGAGTTCATTTTAGAGTGATTGGGCCAGGAGCCTGGCACTTCCTGTGTCTCCTCAGAGAGCAGGAATGTTGTTTCTCTTTCTCTTTCAGAGCTTGGGGGGGGGGGCAGTTTCCCTCAACTAACAGCCCCAGCAGCTCCTTGGAGTCACATTTCCCTGCCCTCCTTGTCCAAGCAGGATTGTGATCTTGTGGCTCCCTCTTTTTCTCTGACCATCTGTGGCAGCATGCTTTCTGCCAGGGATAGGAGCCACGTCTGGCGCGCTGCAGACAGTTGGCGGTTTCCCACATTTTTCACTACGTACGCTGGACAACTGTGCTTTTGAGGGATGGCATCTCCTCTAGTGGCTGTTCAAAGCACTTGGGACCATTTTGTACATTTTGCAAATCCAGGTTTGCTTCCGAGGATACACTCTATAGGGAGTTGTAGCTAATCGCTGCTTAAGGAGCTTCCTTCTATGAACTGCATGCTTACAATGTATTAGGCGTAGTCGCACTCATCATTCTTGGGGGTCCATCTCCCCAAATATAGGGCTATATCCCCTTGAGCTTATGATGCAATGGAAAGCTCTCTTCGTCCAACCCCAGAAGTCTCCCAAAGAGCCTCTTGCAAAGAGCTGTGGACTCTCAGGAAAGGCCTGGAATAAATACCAGAAGAAACTGGAGAAGGGAATTGGGTAGAGGGAGGCTTGCATGAGTGAAGCTTGGCCTGTTCCCCCACCCCAAATTCCCCACTTCTACTCTAGCCTCTGGAAAATCCCCCAACCTTCAGGAATGTTTTTTTTTGGGGGGGGCGGTCAGGAGGGCTGTGTGGAGAGGAGGAACAAGGAGTTCCCCTTGTGTGAGCATCTTTTGGTCACACACTTGATTGGATAAAGGCTACTCTTGCTTTTCATCATGTTCATCCTATTTTGAAAAATAAAATCACACCATCTTTGAAATAGCCCTAAGGGCTTTCCTGCTCCTTATGTGGCAGTTGCATTCACTGTCCCTGCTTAAAGTGTAGAGCTGTTTTTCAGATTCCTGAGTAGCATTGAAGGTGAGCAACACTTTGTTTAGAAATCTAATTCACCTTTTTGGTCCCCCTTCCCCAAATGAGAGCTAAGTAATGCTTCAAAATCCAGTGCTCACCATAAAATAAAATGATGACTCAAAAGTTTCTCAGTGCTGTGTTCTTATTTGAGTTCACTGCTTATTTATTTAAACAGTATCGAACTGTTCATAAAAGACATGTGTAAATATAATCAGCTTTCAAAAAGCTTTTATGTTTTGCAGAATGTTATTTGTTTGTTGAGAGCTTCTCAGTGAGCTTTGGTCAGTGATGTCTTTTCAGTGTTGGTCATGAATATTCAATAGAATTTCTGCTGCAGACAAAAGAAGCACCCTTTTGTTTTCTTCTACTGCAAAACTTAGTCTTGCCTCTGGTATAATTGACTGAAGTGAATACTTTAGCCCAGTACTATAAATACAGTAATTAGAAAATGCAGTGATAGCTGAAGAATACCTTTAATAAAATGTATTTTTTAAAATCAGATAATTTAAAAGTCCATAAATACATTGGGTAGAAAAACCTATAGAAGGTAGCATTATACATAAGAGTAATATTAGCTCACTGGGGCACAATATAACTACAATGATTAAAGATCATTTTAAAAGGCAAAGAGACTCAGACTCTTACAAGTCTTATTTATTCATTTTATTTAAATATTTATAAGCTGTCTTGCTGGGCCAAGTCCAGGTTTCTATGGAAACCTGTGCTGTATCATTTTTATTGATATTTATGGTACTTTCCTACTAACTTATGCAATAATAGATGACTGGAATTTTCATTTTCTGCTATGCAGGTATGTATGCTTACTAAACAGATGTTTTTGAGGGACAGATGTGGTTTTTAATATTCTGTTGGGAGCTGCCCAGAGTGGCTGGGGAAACCCAGCTGGATGGATGGGGTATAAATACTAAATGCTAAATAATAATAATAATTCAAGTAATTTGCATGGTTATATGCAGGCAACAAAACTGAAACAACAACTATATAGTTAGGAACTTTTATTATTTAGTCAGTTTAAGCAAGATGTGTATCTGAATGGTTCTGGAATCAGAAATGATCTTAGTCAAGATTTGGCATATTGAAAATGGTCTAAACTCCATCTAGATGGATGGCCATCAGACCCCTTTTGTTCAAGGGTAGAAGCATGAGCTCTTCTCCTCTAGCAACAGTAACTAAGAGCTCATTTGCATCTTATTGCATCAAGCACCAATGTGATGCAAAGTGTGAAGATGCACATGTCCAAATACACAGTGGACAGAGAATTTCAGTCCATGTATCTTTGATTGTTTGGGGCCCCATGTCTTCCCTTCGTATAACTGCTGTGTAAGTGCAGTGAACTCTAGTGTCCCTGCAGTGCCACATAAAATGTGGATCCACCTACATAAAAATTAATGGCCGTATCATATATTAGTAATTGTATGACTGGAGAAAACAATTTCTAAAGTATCTGTGCCAATGCGGGAATATTTCAGAATAAAGGAACAAACTAAAAGTGACAGGTGTCCCACCTCCTTTATTCGATATCCTGCCTCTTGTAGGATTCCTGCCCCCTCAAAGTGCTATTTTGCCACCCTAAACATTGTTTTTGGGGTGGGTTGTGATCCATTTGGATTTTTGTCTTGTTGCCCATGACCCCATGGATTGTGTTTCAAGTCATCGTCCCCATATAACCCCAAAACCTTAGGAGCCTCAGTCACGCCCAACCAATAAACACAAAGAACACAAAAGTGCAATCAATATTTCTGTTTGAGAAATATTATTGATAAGTTCTAATACTGGCTGTTGCTGATACAAGAGGCAAGCAAGTCTGATCTTAAATGGTGTAATCAGACCCACAATGCAGCACTCCAAAATATCACATTTGTGGGGAATCCTAAACCTGTCCTAAAAGGAGGCAGGACTTCTAGTGAAAATGGGGCAGGGCACATCTCACAAGTCACTTTTCGTTTGACAAATCGTGGTAGTATTATTCTTATTCTTATTATTTTATATGCTGCCCTACACACGCAGGTCTCAGGGTGGTTCCCCTGGTCTTACAGCTATAACTATTTAACATTTTCTTCACCTAATGTGTACTGTAATCTCCTTTTTCTGTAGTCCTACACTCACCATGGCACATAGGAATCTCACTGGGAGCTGTAACGTCAACTGTGGCTGCAAAATCCATGAATATGAACCTGTGTGTGGGTCAGATGGAATCACATATTTCAACCCTTGTCTGGCTGGTTGCATCAGCAGTGGAAATCATAGCACAGGGGTAAGGATATCCACAAGTACACAAACTGTACTTCTCATGCCATGCCAGAAAAACACTTAAGCAAGTAAGGTCATTACCCCTTTCTTCCATTTTCAATGCTACCCATCCCCAAACCACTCACTTACGAGACAGGCATTAGCTCAGCGGCAGAGCACATGCTTTTCTGGCAAAAAGTCCCAGATTAAACCCCTGGTATATGCTGAAACCCCAAAGAGCCATTGCTAGTTAGTGCAGACATTACTAATCTAGATAGACCAATGATCTGACTTGACATAAGGCAAGTTCCTAAAGATACTGACATATAGCTTAACAGAAAATGACAGTTGCTCCTCTACTGAATGAGATCCCCAGCCTTAAGCATGGAAAAATATCTTAAGACTGAAATAGGAGACCTTCTCCTTCAGAAGTAATATTCAGCTTACAAGTTTTGCAAAACCTTTTTGTGCTTTCACAGCCAAGGAGGGCTTCTGTTCTTCAAATGATCTAACCTCAGGCATTCTTTAATTCCAATTGCTATTATAGTCTTTCTGCCTTAAGAGCCTGTTCTTCTAAAAGGAGAGGGTCTCCTTCCTTCCATAACTAACTGAAGATGTCTTAGTGCTCTTTTTAGAACACACAGAAAGTGTGGGTGTTTCCACTCAGGGAGGCAGTACATTTGGATTTTGCGAGCTATACTGATTAAACACCCACCAGACAATCTTTTTCAGGGAAGCTGCTAGCCTGCCCCCAACTAGCCAATCAGTAGCTGTAACTCAGTCTTCTCCAACCCTGGTTCCTCCTAGATGTTACTGGGCTACAACCCCCATCATTCCCAGCTCACATGGCCAATGGCCAGGGATGGTTGGAGTTGTAGTCCCAACAACATCTGGGGGGAAGCAAGGTTGGAGAAGGTTGTTCTAGCTAAATGGTTGTGTAATCTGCTACTCCCCCAGAGTTGCTCAATGCTATATCCTTGTTTGCCTATCCTACTCGGTTGTCCAGCTCTACTCCTGGCCTGATTTCCCGCTTGTGCTGCCCAGCTCTAATATTACATAACTCTACTTCATCCTAACCTCTCCTGCCAGACCCACCATAGTGTGTTTAAAGAACTAACTTCTTTTGCCTTGATTTCTGCACTGACTTCTCTTAGACTCTAAAGTCTTTAGCATCTCATTACTTCTAGCCCAGTATTTCCCAAACTTTGCCCCTCATGGAGCTCTTCAAAAATGTTGAGGGTCGTGGAGGACCTACCACTCAATGGTTTTTCTGCTTGTTGTGCCAATTGTAATGGGCTGTGCTGCATGCTGCCTGCATTTTTATTGCTCCTTTTAATTATTGGATTTTATTTTATTGCATTACAATTTGAATTCCGTATAAGCAATAAGAGCTGTAAAAATACAGTTAAAAATCAAAATGAATATTTAATGCAGGCATGCCACAGACCACACAAATGAAGTTTGCTGATCATGTGTGGTCCACAGACCAGTTTGGGAACCTTGTTCTAGCCCACAAGGAACTGCATGATTATATAGGATGGAACTCCAATTTACCTCTGCAAGCACATGTTCCAAACCTGCATTTGTGTAGGTAACAGGTGTGTGCAGGTGTTGTTTTTTAGGAGAGAATAGGAGGTGGAAGGGGGGAGTGCTTAATCATTTGCACTGATTCTTTCCTATAAATACCTGGCCGTTTCCTTAGCGTTATAAGACAACATAAGATCAATAAGTCACTTTCACTTTCCCCCTAGCTAGCACATTGTGCCAATTCAATGGAAGCATAAAATACAAACAAGAAACCTTAGCATTTGATGCTCCTTGTCTTTGATGTTCCACAGATAAGAAATTATACAGAATGTGCCTGTGTCCAAAGCAGACAAGTTATTACACCACCGACAGTTGGACAGCGCAGTCAGCTGAGAGTGGTGATCGTCAAAACATATCTCAATGAGAATGGTTATGCTGTGTCTGGGAAGTGTAATCGAACCTGCAATACACTCATTCCATTCCTCATTTTTCTCTTCATTGTTACGCTCATCACAGCATGTGCCCAGCCATCAGCAATCATAGTAACACTCAGGTGAGAGGTGCCTGAATTATTACAGTTTTATTAGAGGGATAGTATGCTGTTACAAGGTTCTGGGGGTCTGTGTCATCTTCAACAGGATATGCCTTATCCTCATTTATCTGATAATAGATATCGAGGTGACCCCTTTGATATATTTTAGTTATATGCACCCAGTTCACAGAGGCACTTGAAGATAAAGTGTGAGAGAGGGACACAGTAGGAGTGGGCCATTGCAGATGAAACCACTTAATAAACAATCTAGGAGGGGATTCAGTCGGGAAGATGTGGATCCGCTGCTTTATTTGACCTCATTAGTTCAGAATGTATATGGTGAACTCCTTTTAAAAAAAATAATTTTAATGGGTTGAAGAAGTGGTGAAGATGATCTGTGATCTTCTCAGCTGGCTCGACACAATACTTCTAAGATGACCTAGGTCCCAGAAGTAGCATGGAAGCTACTTTTCTTTCTGGATAAATTCAGTCCATTTATTACATTCATCAAATGATACAATTTAGTAGAAACAGAATAAAAGTCATAAAAGGAATACAGATATCACAGAGGAAACCAAAGGGAGTCCTTTGCTGCCTTTGGCTTCCAAATTCTTGTATGCCCTGAGCTCTCCAAAGTAGGGTGGAGAAGCAATTTAATGGGGATAGAAAACAAAGCCCGATAAAAGAGTTGATTCAATTAGGATGCAAAGCTTTTCAGTTTGCTTCTTCACTTAAATTACTTTATGTGAACCTTTGGATTTGAGTCTATTAACTGCCTTGTTTGCACTTAACTCTGTGAATGCTTTTTTTGTATACTAATAAGTGGACTCACACTCTCAACTTCTTCTCAATAAGGATTTTTTATTATTATTTAGAGAAATTGAAGGTATTACTAAATATGCCTTGCAGTTTAAGGCTTTAAAATACCATGTGTCTTTTTTAGGTCTGTGGAAGATGGTGAGAGGCCTTTTGCACTTGGGATGCAATTTGTTTTATTAAGAACCCTTGGTAAGTGTAGTCATGTAGGGGTAACTTATTGCTTCAGATCATATTATTTAGGAAAATTATTGCAAAAATACGTAATTGGATGGAGTTAAATTTGAGACACTAGTTTTGGCTTGGAACCCAGTTGAGTAAGTTGCTTTGCTACATTTGAACCCACTTATTGGTAAATATCACCCACAAGATCTTTTGCCCCTTCTTAAACTTTAGGTATGTGTAGTTGTTTGCAAAGTATTTTGGCCTTCGCAAACCAAACCGGTTTTATTATGCAATCGTATATTAACTGTTTTAATCTGGGAGTCAATTAATCTTAATCTTCCTGTTTATTTCAGCATACATTCCCACTCCAATTTATTTTGGAGCTGTCATTGACACAACCTGCATGCTGTGGCAACAGGAGTGTGGTGTGCAAGGCTCATGTTGGGAATACGATGTGACGTCGTTTCGTTTCGTCTACTTTGGTCTGGCTGCTGGCCTAAAATGTGTTGGATTCCTGTTCATTTTCCTTGCCTGGTACTCCATTAAATACAAAGAAGAGAAGCTGCAAAGGCAGATGTGGAGGGGCTCATCTATCAACACAGTGAGTGAGGTGGTGGGGAACACCGGAGCTCAGCAAAACTATGCACGGACTAGATCCTGCCCCACTTTTAGCTCTCAAGGCGAACATACTGAAGATGCTGGTCCGTCACTAGGGATGCATTACATAGCGCAGACCTATCCTGGCCCCCTTACAGAAGCAATAAATGCCCCAGATGAAAAGGTCTCAGAAGTACCCACTCCTGAGATATAGAGCCCTTTGGTAACCTCAAATTTGGTTTGTTGGTCAGTTTTTAAGTATGGGGCCTTTGGAAACACCCGTGCCTTCTTTTTCTTAACCTGATCTGCAACAGATAACAAACCAACAAAGCTTAATGCACAGAGCCATGACCTATCTGAGGGCTGGAAACCTCAAAACAACCCAGGTAGCTCTTTCTTCCCTTTTTGGGAAGGGAGTTTTAAAACATGTTTGTAAGTATTTCAGCTGTGTCTGTTAAATCCCCAAGTTCCAGGCAAGTGTTAAAAAAGGCAGAACTCAAGATTGACAGAAATGAATATCCAAAGTTACAAAACAAATAAGGTAATGCATCCACAACTCCTGGACTGGGGAGGAGTAAGTATTTATTTTGACTTCTGTTTCAAAGCACAACTAAAACCAGTCTCAGCTATGCAACTTGGATTGGATAACTTTTTTGTTCTGTGTATCTATTTTCCCTCAAAATTTCTCAAATCATCTGAATTAGAAAAGAGGGCATTTTTGTTATATTTTAAATAAAGAGTACTTGAAACCATAGAACAGTTAAATACACTGGGTATGGTCTGAAATTCTAAGGCATAATAGTTTAAACCTGTTCAATTCATTTAATTCTAGCATGATGATGTAGTATTTTTTAGTTTAGCGCAGAGAATTATAACCACCAGTAATTTTAGTATTAAACCGTAGTAATATTAAAGCGTTTTAAATATGTGCATAAAGAGCAGCTCGGTATTTGTATATTCTTGCAACAAGGAGATAATCTGCCACAGATACTCTTAATACTGCTTTCACCAATTCCACACCCAAGCTATCTTAGAATGAATAGACACACACAAAAAGGATGACCTTTTGGGGTTGTGGCAATTTGAGAAGAATCTCACGTTAATTAAAGCTGTTGGAATTGCACAGTGGTTTGCTTATTTTGTCAAATGAACAGATCGCCATTCACATATCTCATCATGCACTGAGTGTCAATCTGAGTATGTGATAGTGCAATTAAATGCCTGTTTTGCCATGTGGCCTGCTGTAACGCGCACTGAATTCTTTCCAATTCCCCAAGGGTGAATTGTTGGGCAAGTGATGCTTGGCTGTAGGACAGCCAGAGCTGATCTCCCGTTGCTGCAGTATTAGAGGATACATGTGTACATAGGTTCCAAGGTATGGAGAAACAGAGATTCAAAAGCTACATATATAATAGTTGAGTGATTCTTCCATCTTACAGTTGGGTGGTTTTTTGTGTGCCAACCAACCAGAGGTAGTCTAGAGTAGAGCACTGTCACTTGGACAAGATGCTTAATGCTTTCCCATCTTTACTCAAAGATTACACCCTTCAGCTTCTCTCATGCTGTTCTCCCTCTTGTCTTTTCCCGATAGGTGGGACAATAGCTTGGAAGGGCAGTGGATTTCTGAGTGGGCATATAGCAAGAAGGAAGAGTTAAGCAGCTGTGCCTGCTCTTCCTCCATTTAACTTGGTTATTTTTTTACTTTATATATTTTTAAACTGTTGATGGAAAAAAATCACACAGCTAAGTGTTGTATATAGTTTGATCCAAAGTTCCAGGTTTTCTTGTTTTGTTCGATTTAAATTTATCAAATTTCTTTCGTTATGCATTCGTTTTTGTGGGGCTGTAATTCCCAGATAGTCTATGTAGTATATTCCCAGTGAGATGAAAAAGGCTTCTGAGTGTTCACTGAGATTGTTGTTTATGTCTTGGAAGTACTACAAGACTGTGCTGTGTATTGTATCAAGGTATTTGAAGTCATGAAGGATTGCTGTTGTGATGGTTTTCCTTCTTGCAGTTAAAGAGCTGTACAGGGAATTCTGTGCATGCAGTGGGATGTCGTAATCCCACTTTGCGGATGCAGTTGTCAGAGGTTCTAGGCATTACGAAGAGGAAAGATGAATAGGACAAATGTTTCAGGCCACATTTCTAGCAGAAGAAAGCAGTAAGGGAAATACTGTGAGAGAAAGTGAGAAGCATGTGAGGTAATGCGCATATAAATGATGCTAGTGGTTGCTATGGCAGTGTGCATATGTAGTGTGGATCTTCAAAACCCAGTTTGCGTTGATGAACATGTAACGTGGAAGCATCGTTAGTGCTGGCAATGGATTATCTGAGGCACTGTGGTTCTGAAAAGTTGAGGAGGCACTCATGTTCATGAAGCTGGCGCCTGATTTTGTGGTTTGCAAGGAGCCAAGGTTGCATATGAACTAGCAGTAGCCCTGTATTTCAAGGAAATGTGTTGAAAATGCAGGTTTCAAGTCAAAGGGTAAATTGCCCTTCAGTCAGCATTTTCCAAGTGGTGTGCATGTCTGTGAAGAATCATGCTCAAGAGACCTTCACTGTCACTGTGATTGTTGAAAGCGGTAGCAGGAGGTCTGGTCATACAACTTAATTGCTTAATTGCTTCACATTGCTGTTCTTTTATTGGTCTTCTTTGATGCCACCCCTTTCAGATGTGGAAGAAGGGGGACAACTCTTTTAGGGGAGCAATGTAATACTTCAATTACATTGAACGCCCCCCAACAGTGTTTTAAGTTCTAAATATTTTGATAACATTGTATATAGTGTAAATGGAAGTAGACAGCCATAAATATTAATGTAAATACATGTTTATAGTTGTAGCATTAAGCATATTTATACAAACCTAATATTGCCTCAAAATCTTCAAGTTCTTCTATCTACAATTATCAGTGTTGGTTTTACACCCTTGAAATCTGAAATGTTATCCAAAGTTGCCTCCAATGTACTGCATTAGTCTGAGCTTATTTATTTCAGATCATTGTGTCATTTATGTATTTATAGTGTGTGTTACTACTCTTGTATCCTGCAATACATTGTCATAAAACACAGGGTGTAAGGCCAGGACTTGTTCTAGGAGTGCTGTGACTGAACACTTCCAAAGCTCCCCACCCCCTTTTAGTAGAGAAAATAATGAAAGATGCAACTGGATTACCTTTTGAACTAGATACATACTGCCCTGGTGCTAATGTGATGAAGTAATTCTTTCTCTGGCATGAGAATATTTCATACAAGTTTAAATAGCTGCATGTGCTTGCCTTCTGAAATTCTCATTGTTGTCTACAAAAGTGCACATAATTATTGGTAGGTTGGGCACACACTTCTGCTCCACATGTTGGTTGCTTGCCTGAAGTAGTACAAAATTTAAACCAATATCTTTAGGTACTTTAGGCATGAAGAATGGACTGTTACTCATTCTCTGTTGATCTGAAAATGTAACATTCAGGAAAAGGATAGTAAAGACACTGTGCTTCAGTTTTGCTAAACAGATGTGATAGGCAAGTTTTCAAGGTTTCTGTGGCAGACATAAAACACATATATTGGTCACTTGATATTCCTTCTAAATAGCCCCCACAATCATTTGGTCAGGTTAATACTGAATGAACATGGTGATAGTGTCAGTGGAGACAGTCAAACTATGCCTTTTGGCTTCTGAACTTTATAACAGGTAGTACTCTGCTGCAGAACAGAGCAGTTAGCGAAGCTGTGCAGTAACCACATATGTTTGAGGCTTACTGGAAATATGTAGTAATTCTACCTGAGAGGAAAATTGCAGGGATTAACTTAACTAGAAATACTTCAAAAATATGCAATTTTCAATTGCTGTTAGCTTTTTAAATACTTGGCTACTTCTCTCTCTTCCAGGCAAAAGGGACATTGCCACTGGTTGTACTTGCATGCAATGGTGTGCTCCTCTCCTCCCCTTGTTTCATTTTTAAATTCTGCAAAGTTTCATTATAAGCTGACTACAAACCATGGATTATGATGCTTTAAACCCAAGATTCCTGGCTTAAACTAAATTGTAATGCTAAATCAAAACTCTTTAAAAATGAAACATGGGGAAGGGGCAATAAGTTTCACTTGGACTCATTGAGACCCATTTCCGTAGTGCTAAACCGTGTTCCTGAAAAGAAATATATGGTATTAATCAAGGGAGCAAGCTAGTTAAAAAGATTATAGCATAAATGGTTTTTTTTTAATGTGTCCAACGGGAAAGTGTTTAGCTACCTGCCTGTGGTAACAAAAATGCAATTTGATGGATACAGTAGGTTTCTTTTTAGTGAAGATTTTTACTAAGACGTCCATGGAACAAATAATATGTGCAAGTTCCTGTAAAATAAACATTATGGGCAAAATTTGTTGTAAACATCTCTTTGCAAGTGAACCCCTTGGATACTTCAACATTTTGAAATAAAAATGGCTTCTCAGTGTGTTTTGTTGCTGTACATTCTGAACCTTGAATGTGTGGGTTTGTGGATCTCAGTCGCAGGATGGAGCAGTAGGTGGCTGACTGGTGCCCACTGAGATTGATGGGGCAGATGGGAGGCACGACATGTGGTGAATCACAGGTTCCCTACCCCCTTCTCTAGAATGGCAAAGTCTAAGCATATACAGAACAGTAAGGGGTTAGTGATGAAAATTTCTAGCTATTATAAAGGCTCTATTTTTTGAGGGGCGGGGGAGTTCCTCCTCCAGCCCCTTACCACACGGAATTATGTATAATTAATTGTTGCCAAATGAGTACAGATGCCACTCCCCACCGCATTGCTTTCATCTGCCCATCTAAATTATAACTATGTGCTCTCATCTAGTGAAGTTGATTGGTGCAGAAGTCTTCTCTGTAACAGGATGTAAATGTTTTTGAGAATTGTGTTTGTTCAGGAACTGATGCATTGCAAAATGTGAAACTCAATTTTAATGAGTCCCCCCCCCCCTTTGCTGAGTGATTAAACTCCACATAAATTTCTGTCATCAGTAGGTGCAATGTGGAACTGTTACCTAAATGACAACAACAACAACAACAACAACAACCTACTAGTTTATAAAATGCAGAGATCTGGGCCACCAGACTTCATTATGCTGGTGGTTTTGACTATTTAAAAATATTAGGAAAGATGCCCACATATTTGCAGAGGCTGTGTGTATATTGCAGCAGAGCAGGCTGTTCAGTAGTGTCACAGTGACATCCAATGGCTGGGAAGGAACAGCAAACAATTTTCTGCCTTCTGAGGCATGTGACACAAGTGTCCTTATTTAGTAGCTGTAAGAGTGAAAATTGAAATAATTGATGTCTTTGTTGCTAGCCTGTCTCACACTACTGAGTTTATTCCAGTCCTAAATAGTGGCAGACTTTTCTGCCACAATCGAAACTAGTTGTTTTTAATTGTTCTATCCAACTAGGATTCTATAGCAGCATTGAACGGTTATTTAAAATGGTTATTTAGAAGTCCCACATAGAATTAACTCAAATCTGCATAAACCTATTATCAAATTTAAAGATTTTGGTCGGCTATGCTAGAATATAAGACGGAATCCCAATTCTGAACCTACCTTGTCATCAGTAGATGTTTTTAGAGATTTCATAATACTTTAACTAAATTGGCAATCTACAAATTATACTATTACTGTGTAACTATTGCCCATAAACATACAGTAAAAGTGTCCAACTCACAACTGAGCATAGTGAGTGGTCTTCACCATTAGCTTACCTCAACACCAATGTAAAGTTTACTTAATACTTTGTCTTCAGTAATTGACGTTTGAAAGTATGGAAACATTCGCTACGTTAGCCTTATGAATCTTTGGTTTCACTCATTTTTTTTTACTATGAAACAGGTACAGGAACTCTTTATTTCAAGAAATATTGCTTCTAGACTTCACCGAAGTCAGAATTGTTCTATAAAAGTATTGCAGAATATATAAATTTTTTTTACAAGAACACAGTTTAAAGTCTAATAATGGACACTCTATATACAAACAGCATCATTCATGCCCATAAATACGTTTGTTCGGTCATTCCGCTCGTGACACACACATGATTAAACACCTAGTTAATGTCAACAACTTTACAGAGCCCATCGCAAGCTTTTCCTGAAAATTATTAAAAAGCCTATTGAGCACCAGGAACACGCAATTGTCAATTTTAACCTGTGTTATTTAAAAAAAATAGTTTTTAAACCCTATTTCCATTACCACACATAAAGACATGTACACTCCTATAGATCAGATAACACAGAAATACCACTTTGCTCTATTTTATAATTCAAATGTTGTGGTTCAAAAGAACCTCTAAAACTGTTTGGCAAAATCAAACAAATGAACTTATACTCAAGAGTTTGTCTGCAGTTACGTACCTTCCGCGTCTTCTAAATCTATGTTTACCAATTTTTGCATTCAACTGTTTTGTTCTAAAGCAGTCCAATCCATTAAGTAATGTGGGTCGTATGGGAGATGGTGCTTTTCCGTCTTTTTGAAGTCACTGGAGAAGCCCTTGTCTATTCCACAGGCACCTTGGAGATTTCCTGTGTTTGAGAAGCCTCTGCATTAAGATGTATGGCTATAATCCAGCATTCATATGACTACATAGAGAGAAGGCCTCACAGTTGTGTAGTCTCCCATTGTGATGAGTAAAAATCTGAGTGACTCTCCACTATACCCTTCCTAAAAAATGCTTACTGAACATGCTGGTATGAAACACTGCCAATGGCATATTTGTATAGGCACATTTTTGCATACACCAGTCCCCTTCTTTGGATGAGAGTTCAGTTACAAACAGAGGTAGCTGACCCATAGCCTCCAGATTTGGACTTCACCACACAACATCTCTGACCCTTGGCCATGTTGGCTGGGACTGATGAGAGTTGGAGTCCAGTAACATATGACAGACCACAGATTAGCCTCCCCCGTTCTAAACTCTAAAACTTATCTGAGTAGTTTCCGAGCACATCAAGGCTTGTCTTTGCCTAATGAAAATTAAGCTGCCTTTCAAGCAAAATAAATCGAAAATTTGAAAACCTTAATTACTTATTAGTTTCCTTATACATTGAAATCTGAAAATATAATACCTTCTCTATTACATCTTTTGTTAGCTGCTTCTTTCTGAGAAAAATTACCATAAAATCAATTTGAGCATAGAGGCTTAAAACCAAACATTGCTTTCTGCTCAATGTTCAGATAATTGGTTTTCATAATCCATGCTGCATATTGCTTTTGCTACCAACCTACTTTATTTTGTTGCAATTACACACTATTTAGCAAAACTAAGAACATGTACCAGATTAATAAAGGCTATGGCACACAAATTATAAAAGTGCAATATAATTTTACTCTTATCAGTATGAAAATTCAGTGGTTAATTAAAAAAAACCATGATTCAGGGAGCTTAAGTGGACAGAAACATTCATTTGTGGTGAGCCATTTGCGGAACAAGAAGACAAATGACTCAAAAGACTAATTTGCAGATGCCTTTATACTGCAGAAAATCAGGGTATCACTGCAATGTGACTTTCTTTTTAACACTGGAACTCTGGCTCCTTCTGTTACACTTTAAGAGTTTGTGTATGTGTATGCAGAGCACATATCATGGTCTCATTTTGCTAAACAAAGTTAACAGTAGCAAAATTTGGAATGTCAGTTGTCATAACTACTACTATTTGCCAACTAATTAATAAAGAAGAAAGAATGTGTGGTTTACCACAATCTAATCTGAGGAGAGTGGAGATGAGGCACTGCCTTCGACACTTAGACGCTGAGAAGAATTTGGAAAATGTTCCCTTTTTTTCAACGCCCTCTCAGTTTTATGCTCCATGATGAACTGGTGGATTCCCCCTGCATTCATGGGAAGATAGATCTGCCCTTCAAAAATATCCTCTGCAGAGTCACTGTCTTGGGCTGAGTCTTTCTGAAGAATGTTACTGGGTTGTAAGGTGAAGCTATGGCTAGACTCAAGCTCTGTCAAGTCATTCCCACTGAAATCCATTTCAATACGAACTGGTTCTTTGGTCTCCAGCCACGCGTTGGCTTGATAACTATTCCAGTGTGGTAGGTTTGGACTCACGTTTGCAGGAATATCATTGCTTAATTCAGGTTTGCTCTCCTGGCTTAACATAAGAGCACTCAAAGCCAGTGTCCCCAAATCTGTAGGCATAATAGGCTGGGCCTCTTGGGCTGTCAACCAACTTGAACCTTCGTCTGATTCAGCAGAGCTCATATCTAGCAAGGCAAATGGTGTGGATGATTCATCCAAGTACCCACTGGCATAAGTAGCCTGAGTCTTTGCTCTTCCATTTTGCTCAGAGTAACTGTTCAGCAGTGCAAAGATTCTATCTACATCCTTCAAGTAATTTGTCCAGTCGTTAGGACTAAGTCTGTAGTCATTTCTGGCTTCATATAAACTTTCATTCACACTGTACAAATCTTCCAGTCCTTGCCAGTTGACATTTTCCATGAAGATTGGCAACTTAGCCTTCCCATCCATGCCATAACTGTCCTCTGCTAAAAGAGAAGAAATGAAACTGTAGTTAGACTAAAGTTCAGTATTGATTGTGTTTGCTATCACTGTCCTGACTCAGTTCAGTAGCTCCTTTTTTTCATAACTGCAGCATGTAGATTGGTTATGGAAAAAGATAAAGATCACACATTTTTTCTTTTAACGAAAGTGTGGGGACACCCACAGTGAAACACCCCATATTTTACTTATAGATGGGGAAAAGTCACTTTGATCCAAGTAGCAATAATTGAGAAAAGGAGTCAAAAGCAGCCCACAATCAAAGCAGGAGTGGTATTCAACTAAGTTCTATGGACAGCAGACCCACTGAAATTAATTAATTTAAGTTAGTTGTGTTTACTATCTTCAATGGGTCTACTCTGAGTAGGACCAGCATTGAATACCATCCAATGTGCGCACATGGGATCAATGAACCTTGCTTGTTTTCCAACTCTATCAATAATAATAAAGTAATGAAGTAAAATACTTATGACGGCATTGTGGTTCCAATAAGATGCTCCATGACCTACTACTGTTACTAAACTGTTGTGCATAGCCACGTTACTGTACATTTTCATCTTTAAAAAGATGGCAACGATGTGGTATCAGAAAAGGGGTGTGTGTGCTATAATGCAATATAAGAAAACACTGGTGCTTCTAGTATATCACAAGTAAGCCTGTGGATTTAGACAGTAGAAATATTACTGAGAACACTTCATTGAGGATACCCAGGGAATCAACATACAGATAACAAAAGGGAAACAAATGTTTGTCCTATACAATAATGGCAAAGTCAGCTACAGAATTATGAGGGCTATGCAGCCAATGAGAGGCTACAGAAGAACAAGAGTAAGGTATCCATGCACCAAAGGTCTCTTCTGTTGCCATCTTTTACTCTACCCCAGGTAAATAAACAATTATTCAAGTTTACTGATTCAATACAAATGTAATAAGGCCCAATG